TATACCCGGGACGATGAAAATACAGTACAATTACTTTCTTTGATTTATATCCTATTGACTCGTTCGGCTATCCTGGACATTGACATTCAAAATTAGGAAAATAATACTTAATTATTGCAATATCAACTAAAAATAGGGACGGGATGACAACCATAAAACCAATATAATATATAGAGAAAGAGTTAAAGTAGAAATATCGATTTAATTTTATATAGAATATAAAAATCCTTTCAATTCACTATTAAACTTACAAATGCCGTTTCTTTTCCGGTGAAAACCAATAGTAAATAGGCTAATAGAATATTATATACTGATAAGCACCTGATAAATTATTATCTGTACTTACCACAGTAACTGCGATTCGTAGTATTTATTAAACAATTAGCAAATTAAACCAGAATAATTGCTAAAGTGCTAAGCACCTTTACTTCTAAAAAATGAAATTTCTTAATACCTTAATTAATTCTATACGTACCCACAACGGTAATATTACCATCAATCTAAGTTATATCGGTATTTAAAACAGTCTCAAGGAACTGTAATTATGCGATCGGGAGGCATACTCAGACTTTAAAGGCTATCGTAAGATCCAAATTTCCTCTAAAATTTGCTCTTATTGATATTATATCTTCAGAAAACTAAGAGATATAAAGATTTTTTAGTCAATGACTACTTTAGAAGCTAATTAAATCCAGTACGATATACATTAGAACAATTGACTTTAAAGGCGAAAATTTAATTTAAATTCTTATCTTATTGAATTCAATAAATTAGAATTCAATTGTGAAATTCCATCATTATGACAAGTTTACAAATGAAACGGTAATAAACTATTAACGATGCCATTTAATAATATATAATCCAGTCTACAGCATCTTATTCTTTTTTCCAGCTTATATTTTTGACATTATAATATTTTAATTATGATTGATACTAATGCCAAATATAAATCACGACGCATTCCGACACAATGATTACTAAATAATTAATGACAGGGGTCATTAACACGATATATAAAGCGTATCTTTCAGTTGTGGTATATCGTTATGGCATAGTTTTAACATCTATTAATAAATTAGCCTTATTTCAAATGACTAATGAGATCAATTAGAAAACACATGGAAAGCACAACGCATTCTATACTTAACTATTAATAAGGTTTAGGCGTTGTCGAAAAAGGGATTACTAAATATTGATAACGTCATGAGTAAAACAAGTATATTATACCTTAGACTACATAAATGGCTTTCAATTAAATGCTAAGATCAGATTGCCGTTACATGTAAGGTGATATAGTGCTAATAGATATTACATGAATTAACCATAACAAACACAACTCTCGTTACTTGTCGTTAGTTCTGCCTGGATACAGATATGAAGAAGCCTTTAAATAGAGTTGAACTAATGGGAAACTACTGGGATATTCCAATAGAACTTTCCGTTCACGTAATTTAAAGAAAATTTTCAAACTGCATTACAATTTCATTGTAAATTTATAGTAAAAAATTATCTATTGACAATTTTACTGTCTTGCTTTCAAATTGGAGCTTCATTTAATAAAACAATAGAAGGGGGAGAAAATTTCAAAATCACTCGTTACTTCCTCTATTTCATTAGCAATTACTGTACTATGTTAAGTCCAACAATGAACAAAACTTCAATGAGACAACTACAAATATTACCTAAAAACAGTTTAAAGTAATCTTTAGTTGAGAAGTCATTATTTTAGTAACGGTACCTATAACCTAACGGTATCTTTAATTAAATTTCTCGAATACATTTGAATCTTTCCTGTCAGATTGAATATCTAAAGGTCAAAGGTATCTGCAACCTAATTATAGGATATGAGTATATAGATTGTCATCAATAATTTAATTAGTATAAATGTCTAAACTACATTCTAACCTCGGATAAAAGTTGAGAAAATTTTCAAATTTTTTAACTTTATTAGATGATTCGTATTGACATACCTAATAAATAGTGAACGTTGAATATCCTTAACTGTACTAGTGTTTTCAAAAATAATTCAACCACAATTTTAACCTATTTTGTTGCTTTGAGATCTAATTAAAAGCGTATTTTATTTGTCCTCTGCAAATAAGCTATTAAATTCATAGTTGTGGCCTTAAAGATATCAGTTAAATTAATTTTGGATACTTATTGACCAAGAGGATAATTGATATGAAATGAAAACGTATGTTTATGTCACAAAACAGCTTTGCAACAAGATAACGCAATATACGATCAATAAGTCAATTCCTTGAACCACGTATCAAGGAACGATATCTGCACTATCACAAACACTTTTGTTCTACTAGCAGATTACACAAAGACTTAAACGCCTCGTATTTTACGTTAAACACTAAGTTGGAGAATTCACTTTATTTCACGATATACTGCATTTATATACTACTCCTCAATAGTTCATGAGTCATAGTTAATACAATTAGCATTAGAATCATTTACTGAATTAGATATTAATTTTAGCTACTGCTCCCTTAATGCAGACAACAGTATTTACGAACATAGACATGTAATGACTAATACAGAATAGTCAGATTACGATATGTCCTATCACGGAACATTTCCATGATAATTTACAGTCTATCATAAGTAAATTACAATCACAATGATTCGAACTGTAAGCAGATGATTTGCATTCCCTATTATAACTATTAATTTCAGTATGTGTATAAGTGTCACTGTCATAAAAAGTCAGTGCTATATTAAAACACAATATATCCAAATTAGAAGTTAACTAAATAAGGATAGTCTAACAGAATTATCCTAACATAGATATTTCTACCGTAATACAGTATTTAACACTGTAACAGTTTAATATCCAAGTAAAAGAATTAATATTAGGAATTTATCAAGGTTATATTATACACATATATGAATAGGTATGCTACTGTTTTTCAAATATAATTATTAAAGGCCGTGCTGGATGGTTTCGAAGAATAAATCTCGTAGAATGAAGTTCTACATCAAAAATTTATACGGTTACGCAATTTTTGAGAGAGAAATGCTTGCAATCAATGTAAATTTGGTTTGTATTTTAAATAAATTAAGGCTATCGGTGACTTTTAAGATAGCACTAGACGTATCTCGAAGATATTGTAGAATTGTATAAAATGCAGGGAAGTGATTTTAATTATACAGGCAGTTATCTTAAAGAAACTATGGCCATGATTGGAAAGTAGATATTATATGGAGGCCAATAAGAATGATATTATAAATCCGAAATTTTTTCAGTAGTAACAATCCTGTCCACAATCTGTTGACCCAGTCCAGAGTAGCAAACACCATAATTTAATAAACTTTCTTAACGCAAAGAAAAGATCTTGAAGTATGCACTTGAATATCTGATCCGAATATTTACATAATTCTAATAAATTATCCAAGGAAGAAAGTGTAAATTGGCTTAATCTCGAAGTGATAATTTCGATAGGTTGCAGCTTTATAAGGTTTTAAGGAATCAGTACGGTAATGATTTATATGATCACTGCTCAATCTATATATGCATAATGATTTAATGTTGATAAAATCATACAACAGTAATACTGATGAAAGATTCAATCGTATATACGAGTGTATGAGCAAGAGATCAAATAATCCCGTTCTAATTCAGTGCTTCTCGTATTACAAGTATTTATTGACAGAGAATATTTGAATGTGTTTAATTAAACTAGTATATACTGTACAATATTGACCACTTATTCTATGGGCATAATACATTACTATAGAAATCAATAGCAAATTATTCTTAAGACTTGAGGAATATTGGTGTAATGTAACTTAGTATTGTGATTGTAGACTGTTAGCCATATGTAGTATAATGTACGGTAGATATTTATCCTAAGAGATATTTGGTAGCTGTAACTATAGACTGTAGTGGTAGAGACTCTATGCTAGAGTACAGATGACTATATACAGTAAGCTGTTGAGTTACTAATATGGCTATAGGTAAAAATAGAACTGTAAATCATATATTAGGATATGGTTAATTCATTGTACTTTGGCTGGTGTGAATAATGTCTACGTAAGTACTGTAGTCGTATCCATATTGGATTAATGATGGTCTGCAGTAGAATAGTCTTACTAAGAATAATTTAACTATGTGTAAAATAAGGTAAAAGGTTGCCATGCGGATTGTAGCTGCGAAAAGTATAAAAGCATGCAACTTTAGATTATTCTGTTAGTTCGTTCTAGAAGTCTTTAGAAGTAGTATTCGGCTAGAGTAGAGCTGTGTAGTTAATCTTTGAATAAGATTCAATAAAGCCCTTATTTTTCTAAAATTTGGAATTTTGTGATTGGTATATATCACAATTGGTCATTTCTCACCTGCGTACCTACAATTTACTATAATTTAAGTTTTAAGGAAAAGTATCGGACTTGGCTATACCTATATAATCACAGTAATGCCATAATCTAATCCATTAAGAAATCAGCGTTAATACTGATTCGGCAATACCATTAATCGCCTAACCATAACTGTACTGGGGTAATAGCTCCTCTTCGATTATTACTTCATAGGTAACACGATAGCAATATTATATATTTTGAGTGATATCGAAATATCCAGAGTTGTACTTAATCAGTTCTCCAATAACTGGTTTATATCAATTTGAAAGGATTTTTATTTTATAACTTTTCGTTATGGATCCATATGAATTTGAATGAATGTGATAGAGTAAATTAAATATGCATTCGTAATATTCTAAATAGTAAATTAACGAAATTTGAAGCCAAAATGATCTCCGCAGGTTTACTATTTGCTGATATTTGTTACTGTAAGTGTTAAATTTATCTTATAAGAACAGAAAGATAAATATCTACACTAGAAGCTGGAAGCTGTACGTAGAACAACTTCTAATTGATAAATCAAGATCGAATCGGATGGATATACTGTATTCTAAATATCTTACTTTATCCATATCTTTCACTAATTTAAACATAGAGAGCTAATGTTAACCTCAATTCATTGTTAATAGCCCATTTTACAATACAAGATGATCCGCTGTTTCATTAATAACAGCATTATTAAAGCCGCTGTTTATATTCTCTTGTGCAGCAGATGGTTCGCACTGACGCTTGCATTCAATTAACTGAGTCAAATCCTATCGGTGAATAAATTGGATAAAAAAGTTAGTACAGTAACTATTCTTTGTTTTGTTCTATCTTTACTCAATAGAACCCAGTTATTTTAATAAATTCAAGTAACAATAATATCAGCAAAATTCTTACCTTCCACATTTTCATCTGTTTCATATTTAGTGAATAGCCTTCTTTAACCGATTTCTGCTTTTCTTTTAAACCCTTAAAGAACAACATCAAATTATGGCTAATTCGTAATTCTTAATCAATTTTTTCTCCCATAGTTATTGTTAATTTACAAGCAGACTTAACATCCGAATGATCGTATTGTTGAACTTACTTTTCCAAGATTTTCTTGTTCCTGTATTTTACGGCCATATACATCCCTGTCAAGGTTAAATCAATCACACATTTTATTTTATATCAGAAGTGTCCGAGTACACGCTAATATGCGTAGAACCACACAAGTCGAAAAATCAATCCTCTACATTTATTGTTTGTAACATTGACGCAAGTATGTTATCGTAAAGCATTTATATTACATGAATTGATCATATACAATTACTATGGAGAGAAATATAATTACAATATCGAATATCTTTGTATTGTAATGACTAACATGCATAACACCTGAATTCATTAATTTCATTTCTAGTAATTAATAATTACAGTCAATTGAGTGTTATTCGATCTTATTATTAATAATATATATATACTGATATTTCGTAATTTTACCGTAGTGACTTCTTTTTCTCCGCTGCTTCATTGGCAATATAAGATTTTAGTTCACTGGAAAGTCGCTGCTGTTGAAGCTTAATAGTCTACATTGATATCAATATTGAATAGCGATTTAGCATATATAGACGTTAAAACAGCTGCTTGATTATAATTATAGATGAATTATAATCATTTTAAAGAGCTAGACAATGAATTTTCTCCTTACGAATACTTACTTTCATCATGCAGTTTAAATAATGATATCGTCCTTCTTCATTGGCACATTCTTCTCGATATACACGAACCTCCTATCGATTATGCAAATGTATATAATTTACTTTCAGTAACGAAAGACTAATCGCTTTTTTATCACTTTACTTAACATCATCGTGTTGAATCATATATAGCCCTAACTTTTCATAAGATATTGTGCATAGGATAGCATTATTCTACTTTTATAAATCCATGCATTATGATAAACATCTATAACTAATGTCTGCATCTTTTTATAATGTACTCATAAATATATAGTCTGATTACTAGGGTGCAAGAGGTAATTTAAGTTATTATTGTATCCATAGGTATTAAATATGTATTTGTTGCAGTGATATATAAAGTTTTGTCCAGTTTTTATGCTACAGGAGTTATGATTTTATGAGGAATCTGAGTGCATATATAATTTAAGCGCAAGTGACAAAATATGGCAGTCAAAAGACAATTTCATATTCATATTGCGTGATATATAAAATCTAATTAACTAGCCTGTTCGACTTTGGAGTTCTTGCTTTCGAGTGAAGCTGACGCATTAGTGAATATGTTCTTCTTTTCTTCATATTCTACAGATAATTCCTATTCGTACGGATAATAAATCTCTCGGTTATATTTTAATTATCATTATGAATTAAAATTATCTTGAATTGTGACATTATAAAATGTCTAACTTGACATTCTTGTCTTAATGGCCTTAGTTCTTTAATAATAGGAGCTAAAGCGCTTTTCTTCCTGTTAATGGTTATATTTAATTTTTGAACCTGTAGAATAACATCATAAATTTTATATAAAGAGAAATAATGAAATATTTAAAAGTAGCTCTAGATATCTCAGTTTCTATGGTGAAAAGTACCATTTCAGAAATATCATTTAAAGTCTTATTCTTAATGTCGTCTATTTCACTTTTCATTGAGGAAACCTGCAATGGTAATATTATAATAAATTAGATCGTTTAGAGGTAATTTCATATCTATATGTAAAAAATACATAACAGTTACTAACAATCTCTTTAGCTCTTTGCTAACAATACGTTGACAATATCATCAACATCAGATATGCAGCAGCGCTTTATAAATTTTAGAAGTTAGACACAAACTTACTTTTTCCAACTCTTCCTGAGTATCAAAATATCCTGAGACTCCTTTCTTAGTTTCAATATTGGTCTAATTATAACGGAATAATATATAAATATTGATGCAACGATAGGGAATTATAAATTTATATCTAAACCATATCAATAAATACTATAGTATCAGTAACAATCTAGTGTTTACCATAACAGATTCTATACTTTCATTTCGGTTCTTCAGTACTTCTTCAGTCCTTGCTAATACACCATGTTCAGCTCTAATCTCCGCTAACTGTTTTAATGTATTAATAATTCATTCTCTAAGCTCATTGATGGATCTATTTACCGAAGTTTTTATTCAACGACTCTATAATTTATATTTAGTACTGCGTTCTACAAACTATGTATTGCATCAATCTAAGGATAGTGTTAGCATTAATTAATGAGAAAGTTATTATATGGCTGAATGTGTGTTTAATATATATGCTTCGTAAAACTATACAAAACAATTCATACTATTACTGTTGATATTTCTGTTTTGTAAATACTATGAGTTCAAATTTAGAATTATAAGTATAAAATATCGTACATGTACAGAATGATAGTCGTATAGTTTTGTAGATATCATACATACATCTTGGCGCTTTTTCTTGTAGACGTTACTTTTACCACGTAATTTATTGACATAGACTTTAAACTTGAAATAAAGAACGAAAAATTATTGAAATGAATTGAGAAGCATCTAGAATGATCGTTAAAAATTTAGCTGGTTAGCATCTGTGAATTGTGTATAAATACAGCCTACTTCATCTCCCTTCATGACTGTTCCGCTAGCTTTTAGGCCGTTCAACAATTCTGACTTTCTTTTACATTCATTTTCATATGATGACAAATTTTCCATAGCTTTCTGTAATTTGTTAGCAATGTCTTCTTTTTTGGCCGACATGATTGAAGCTTGTTGTCTGAAGATGGCCAATTTATCGTCTATGGGATCGTTGCGAACCATTCTTTTCTCAATTAGCCCATTTACTTCGGCAGTCACTGAACTTATCTAATTCAAATAATTTGGTGATATGTTTGAAAACTAACTAAAAAGCTGAATCGTAATTATTACCATTGAATATAATACTTACTTCATTGTTAATAGCATCTAAGTCCGATTTGCTCATCGCTGGCTCTATTAAAACTTTTTCTAAATCTTCTTTGAGCTTTTTACTACTCGCAATTTCCTATCAAAATTAGTGCAGCGTGATCAGTGCTCTCTTGTAGATTAAGGTTAACATGGGAGTATAGTAATATCCATAAAATCTGTAATTCCAAGCTAGATTAAAGCACTTCACAATACATAAGTGTCCGAAGTTTATAGAGCTATAGTAAACTAAAGGTACTAGTAACAATACATTTACGATAGTATAGTAAAATAACGTCACTAAATTGATGATATTACTTTCTGAAGTTAAAATATATATTTATCGTAACATCTCTACAACATTTCCAAAATATAGTTCTATGCATCACTGAATTTCAATCGGAATAAAATTAAATCAATTCTATAAAGATAAAGCAGTATTAACGTTCAATTACATATCGTTTTTACGACACTTATTGATATGATTTTTGATTACCTTGGGTAGCTTATCATTGCATAAGTAATAATTGACACGGTTTTCTTCTTCAATTTTATCTATTAAGACTATTACAGAAAGTATAAACTAAAATTAGCTTAAAATTGCAAAATAATATAGATTATATCATACATGCGATAACAATTGATACTATGCACATGGGGCGTGTGAGCACTAAAAATTTTTACCTTCGGGTGTCATTCCAACAGCTGCTTGTTGCATGTCCTTTAATTGTCGTTGTATCCTTTGCAATTTTTGCTCAGCTTGTCGCAGCTAATTATAATCAAATTAGAATATTAGTTCCAATAGGTTAAACAGATTATGAGAATTTTTAAAGTATATAGAGCGATAATATATGATTAAAATTTGCTTATAAATAAAAACCGATTTATGAATTTGTAATTAAGCATTCCGAAATAGAAATACTCAACCTGGTTATTTTGATCCAAGTATTGACTGCTATATTTACTTTCCTCCTCTTTCGCTTTACGTAATTCACGTGCTACATTCAACATTTTTTCATAATCTTTAATCCCTTCGATCTAGGCAAGATATATGATAGAGTCAGATCTACGTAATATCGCTATTTTTGGAAATGAAAAATTGTCAAAGAGTCTAAATTTATTAAGTGAAATACAAATGAAATTATATGATCTCTAACCCTCTTTTGCATTTTTCTAATTCTTTTCTCTAACTGATCTTTTTCTTCCTCCATATGTGAGATATCCTAATATAGTAGTATACATATACGGTTCTTAATTTATCACTAACTCTGATTAGACAATTTCAAGTTATCTTACTATGATAATATTTCAAAGGCAGTCTGATAGCAGAATAAAATTTGATCATATCGTACCTTCTTTATTTCACTAACAGACAAAACAGACTTGCGCAATTCTTCTACCGCCTTATGATTTTGTTTGAATGTATCCAGTAATTCATCATACTATGTAAAGATTATGTGAGAATATAGCAAGAATAAGAAATAGGTTGCTATCGAATTATTGCCATGCAATTGTTGGGGAATACATAACGTAAATATTAGTTCAAACTCGTTACTAATACCTGTTCATAAATCTCATTTACAGGGTCATCACGATATTCTAGCGGAATTTCAATTTTTACTAAGAAACGAGCTAAATATGCGCGTTTCTTTAATTCTGGCATTTTTTGTAAAGCCCAGTGAAGGATTGGATAAATGACTGATTTATCTCCTTTGATTAACTGATTGACATAATTTTTCCTATATTTTAGATGAATTTCAGATTATACATTGGTCAGTGCGTTATACAATATATAATTGAGAGTGATTGATTAGATATGGTGCATATTCAAGGATGAAAATTTTTTACATGGATTGTGGATCTGGATTTGGAAATTTATATTTGAGAACCCTTAATAGAGACATCATTCTATTGACGGTAGCACCAGGTTCTTCATTACGTAAATCGACTTTACCCTAAGAGAAGTAGAAAAAATTCGTACTAATCAAGTTAATGCTCCTTATGTCGGCATCATATCGTTAAGGTCGAGTCGTTTAATGACAGCTTATCTTGTCGTATTTAAAATTATTACTGTACCTGTCCTGAAATTTCAGCGAAAACATCGCTTAAGACTTGCAGTAATTGAATGGGTGATTGGTCATCAAAACTATATAGAATTATTCAAAAAAATAGAAAGCATACAAAATCGAATTCAGTACGGTCGATTGAATCCTAAAGAAGAATATTATAGAATATTGAAATCCTATAAATGATTTTAAGCTTTACTTCCCAAATAATCTCTGAATTAGTAGCAGTTAGTCCTTCTATTTTAACTCATACAAATAGTGATAAGGAGGGTTTTCACTCAATTCACTACGTTGAAATAAGCTGTTTATTTAAATTCAACATTTATGAAGTATCTAATCGCAATGCCTTACACTGCGGTTATTGTACCCCCCTATTGCGTACATCCATGCACACAGTATACAGTATGCGACGTATTACTGCGTACATCAAACGATATATATATAACTAGGATGATGACAGTTTGGTGAAAAGTTAAATATTATTGATATTATGTATGAAATAATATTAAACATACGTAATAAGATTGATATTCTTTCGATTAAATGGTTCCTTCTTGAGTTCTTCAACGATGTAACGCAACTGATCACTCATTTTTGATTCCTAATTCTAAAAGTAAATGTAAAATTATAAAGTCTAATCTAATACTACAGAGTAAATTATTACTAATCATCAATTTTTATAATGAATAACCTTAACTTTGGAAGATGAGATTAATCAAGAATAAAATTGGCTAGACTACCATAGGAAACGAACTTTTGCCTGAACTGCGTGAAAACATTAACATTGCTGTAGTCATAGAAATGTCCAAGTTATTATGAATTACAATTCAATGTATTGTAGCTTCGGTGGTACGGACTGTGAGTTACAGTGAATAGTACTGTAACTCGGAAGCCGGTCATGTTATACCATTCCATGTACAGTACGGCACGGTATGGTACGGCACGGTATGGTACGGCGCGGTATGGTACGGCGCAGTACGGTACGGTACCCAAAAAAGAAAAGCCAGCATGTTGTCAGATGACTCAGATCGCTGTCGTGTCACCGTATTAGACATTTAGACCCATATGGTAGTTCATCCAGCTGATCAAGTGACCATGACACTGTACAGCACAATACCATACCATCACTTTTGCACAGTGTCACTGAAATTGATTCTCTCTCTCTCTTTACTAGCCGCTGCTGCAAAGAAATGCAAACTCGTTGATACATGACGATAGCCTTTCTCTTAAACTACAAAATATATTATTCGCTAGTCCGCACAGTGCTATAAAATAGGTCGGAATTATGTACTGTATTAACGTAAGATCAGTTTTGAGATCGATTTGCATCTGTGAGGTCACGGCTGCATCATAGTCTGCATATGTGCCGTGCCTTAAGATATATCCTTGTCATGAGCACTATTGTGGTGACTGAGAATGATGGTTGAAAATACTATAGTTGTAAAAGTAACAAAAAATAAGAATATCCATACTCAATATCCGTAAAGAAAGAAAAAATTGCATGCTAACTGTTATTTACTAATTAATTTTATTATATAATTACCAGAACAGGTGGCCACTACCAATTACAATTTTGAACGGTCTTCTATCAGGCCAAATTAAATTAGTCCATTCATTAGTAATTTTAGAATTCCTTTTGCTGTTGTAACTACGCTCCTTGTTAAACTGCATTTGACTACAAAGAGTAAATCGGTTGGTCATTAATTAATTAATTAATTATTTATTATTATCATACGCGGTTTCTTGTACGCGTAATCTATCGTAAAATCGTGGAATTGATCGGCATGTGCTAAAACAGAACAGGACGGTAACCAACATGCCATCCCTTAGGATCACGAATTCAATTTTAGATGAAAGGAAAATTAGATATACTGTCAAGTGCAATATACAAATCTTTTTTGATATAATGCAGTAATGCAGCTTATGCCTCGATTCTATCAGCAACCCTAATGGTAACCTTGTGCGTTGTATACGGATTTCTTTTAATAAAGATAGGATTAACATCAGTATTACTTCAGTACAATACGTATACTTGAGGTTTTGAAAATTTGCGGCGTACTAGCATACAGTATACTGTACATATCCAATTTTTTCTTTGTTGCTTTTGTCAGCGACTACCTTTTTACTAGTCAGTGCTGCTGTCGACAACACTAGTTTGATCTAGCATTGAATTAAATTTTCTTCAAGTAACTCGTACAAAGTGTTGCATTCAGTACGTATGTTTTGTTGCATGTAAGGAGTAAAGTAGTATAACAGTTGGCGTCTCTCTCTGTTACTTACAACACAGTTGATTAATTGTGATATATTAGATACCCTGAAAAAGCTAGCCATTTATTTCATTAGTTATAGCCGTCCACACGCACATTGTCACAATCTATTACCCATACAAAATTTAAAATGCTTCATCTAGACATTACTCTTTCCGTTATGCATGCAGTAAAAAGCGTATCCGTATTTATTAAACGGCTGCAGGTTACTAGAACGAGGCTTTGAGTGGAATCCTTAATATAATTCCATTTATAACTTACGCTAAATACTTTTAACAAATCTCGATAACAATATAAGAAACTAAAGTAATTTCAAAATTTTTCACTAGATCCTCAGCCAGGTAGAATTCATTCGTGCGCGAATGAGCGCATAGATCGTAGGTGTAGTTTGCGTGGACAATCATTGCAGAACTGACGTACTGTATACTGTATAGTAACACAATATTTGCGGTTAACCATACTGTGAGATGATAAATTGCATCATAAATAAACATGAAAATGGAAGATTTAGAGGCAAAATATTTCAAGTTAGGTAATTTGTGCGATTATTTAAGATTTGATTCTCTTCGTATAGTCCTATGATTGACCAGTATCCGTCTGTGTAGTAAAATCGATAGAATAACTAAAGTTGTTAAATATACAGTAAATGTAAATCACTAATCTACCGTATTTTTTCTCCATATGCTATATCTAAACTAACGTAATTTTGTAATCGTAAAGTAAATTAAATTTAATATCCATTACATGCATATGTGTGTGTATTACATTACCTATATCTGATTATTAACTCGATCCTTGTATTGTTAAAAAATTATACACAAAAACAAATTCATCGTTATTATTTGTTAAAAATAGGTAAACAACCTAAATACCGATATTACTTCAGTATATCGTAATCCTAGTCTAGGGATAAAAGGGTAATTCGTATTGCGTGCTTTTGACGGTTTATTGCGTTGCATACTACTGTACTGTCCATAATTAATCAATCAATAGCTCAAAAAATAGAATCTATGTACTATACACTGCACACCATAGCCATAGGCTTACTCAATCTTACGGAAGATTTAGTAGTCCATGGTATAGCAGAGACAGGGTACAGAATACCGCACTAGTAAAGTATGCAATCAGTAAAAGTACGTATCATGGTGATAGCACAAACTTGAATCGCAACATGATCACGCAATCTGCAGTAGCTATGCAGGACTTGTTACTCGCATGCTGAATTGTGTAAAAGTTATATCGTGGAAAGGATAACGTCTTCTTCTTTATCGCTTGTACATTGGGTAGTCAAGCTGCTGAGTACTAGCCCTACATCGCCTATGGCATAACGTATAATTTGTCTGCCTGTATAACCGAAAGATTAATTTAAGTGCATACGACTGTTTCACTTGAAGTATTTTATTATTGGAGATGTTCAATAAATTTATAAATTGTAAGAAAAGTTGACATCTTCTCGCCCTGACTATCACCAAAATTTGTGATCTTTACCTGCGATGATTTTTACACTAACACCTAAATACTTGTATGGTGTCTTTTGGCAGTGACACGTTGAAAGAGTCATGGAATCCTGTTGTTTCGCAAATATTTGAAATACTACTCTTAGTAAAGTTAGCATCCTGTAAGAAAGAATGTTGAATCAATATTGATGATCTATTTCTATATGATGAATTAACATTTCTATCAGCTACCGTAGCTACTATTATTATTTAAAGCAGAAATAGTAAAGTATTAATATGCTGTGTTGACAAAAACCACATCATTACAGATAATAGTATACTGTACAGTACTATATATAGCGAACAACTTATACAGTACTTCGCCAAAACTAGTATTACATGCTGTACAGTATACACTGCCACTGTAGCAATTCGCTGATGGATGGTAGGATTGAAAATATTTAAGGATGCTTTGCATTTTGTGCTAATGCATGAGCCGAGATATCGACATTGCTTGTATTTGTGGCATAATCAGTGTTCTACTTGCTACTTTATCAGACTTCGTACAGCTTCTCTGTAGCCTTATTACGGCACAATGTAGCATATGCTGTTTAAGAGTATAATTCTATTATCAGTAGAGCACCTGCTCGGAGCTGACTGCATTTGCAGAAATTTGTTGAGGTTTGAACTGATTTCAATGTGCATTGAGTCACGCGTTATCACTTTAATAAACTGTTACATCACGACAATCCTAGAATATACTGTACAGTATAGTACGTGTATTTGTATAAACATGGTTCAATCGTCAACTTATAAATGCAGTAGATGAATGCAAAATCCTTCAAAAATATTGATAAACTGATTTTGTGGGGCCAGTGTTATCACTATAATTTACGCGTTGACAGCAGAATGCTCAAGTCGATGGATCATCTGTATGCCATTGAAAATAGATAATAATCTATCATCATAATCTACTGTACAGTACACGTATAAGCGGGATGTTTACTGTAAGTGATCAATTTACATTCATAGATCAACGTTGATGATCGGCAACTATTAGCAAACACAGTTTGACTTCGGCTTTGACGTACTAAAAGCCATAAAGTCTTGAGATCCTTTACATCAAACTGGACGTCTTGCTAGACATTTACGGTAGCCTGTATGGAGGACCAACTCCATTGTGCTACTGATGGATTTTTGGCGGCTAAAAAGGATGCCAACCCGGTTCGATGTAGTACAGTACAAAGTACTGTAGACACTGTGCTATCCATGTGCACAAACTGATCGTACTGAAAAATGATTCCGTATGATGATGCAGTGATCAATACTGTACTGTACGGTAATGTAAACAGCGGTCGGGCATGGTAAATACTGTACTGTATGCTACAGTACTGTACGCCAACTTTCATACTGAAATGCTAAAGCTTGACCATGGTGTGCAAGTAGACTGCCCCCCCCGTACATTACAGTTAATTGCATACTCTACCCTCTACTGGACAGGATGGTGGACATTTTGGCAGAATTTTGCGATCTCTCTTGCTGACGGTCGATCTTCTGACAGACAGATGGACATACACGTGAAGAGTGAAGCCACTACTTCAAGCCCCAGCAGGGTACAGTACGGAACTACAATTGAGTTGTAGTGGAATTGACTGACGTCAACTGGGAATCGACGACATCTACTATCGCCCGTGCTTCAAAAGCCAAGTGGAAACGCCTGTAGTGAGAGAGACTTGCATAAGCCTGGAAAAAGTTGTCATGCAGCTTTGACTTTCATCGATGATAGTTGCAATCTACTTTTCTCCTTGTCTATTACATCTCTCTAGTCTTTAAGAGGAATTCCAATTTCAAGTTATATTGGAGAAGATGGCAGCTGCTAAAATCTCCCGATCATCGATTAGTATTGACCATCGTGGTGGTGCTGATTCAAATAAAGGCAAAGATGACCGACTGGTATGTGTGCCATTTCACTTTTGAGGCAACTCTACTTATGGATACTTGTAAAAATCAATTCTTTCCTATAGCGTGAAGAAAATAGAGAGTAGAAAGGATCACAATGCTCTCAACATGATCGATGACTGTTGTTTTTTTTTTCCTCCCTAATGGGAACTATTAAAACTTTTGCTTTCTTTTCAACTACCTTTAGTTAGTGCGCCTTCGCCAACTCTCCTATCCTCTCGATTACGAAAAGGAAATCAGTAGCAATACTGACCATCACTCGCATGATCCGCTACAATTTATGCTCAATTTTCCAGTAGATGATGTCTCGGTAAGGAGAATGCTATTGACATTACAGTCCAATGTAACACAACTAGCGTAAGCATTGACTAGTTCCTTGTCAAATCCATTTACTTTTTCAAGTAATTTATTCAGCCATTGGCCACCAACATGTAATAACTTGACCTGATCAACTACATTATTATTATTATTTATTATCATGCCTTTTTGACACTGGGTGGCGACCGCTTTAAAATAAACAACCTTTTTTTATATGCTATTTCTTCAATAATCATGTTCCAATGCTTTATTGGATCAATCAATGCATTTTCTTCATCTTCTGTACTTTTCTACTCTTCCCTATGCATGATGACAATGATTGTAATATTAATTAGTAGTAGTAGTTAGTCGTCCAGACAGTAAAGAGAGAGACAGACAGGGAAAAAGTATTAACAGTGGCTATTAATGGTGATCATCAATACTGTACAGTTACAATGACGTAGCTACTATCATTTCATCGTCATGATGATAACCAGTGTTTTTCTTTCTTCCTTCCTTTAACCTATCATTTTTGGTATGTGTGTGTGATTTGATATAGCGATATTATTGTATCTTCAGGCTGCAACCAAATCCAGACAGCTACGAACTATCCGCAGTACTGTACCTTCTAATGCTCTTAGTGAAGCTACCAATGCCTTCGTTCGAGAGGTCTGATCCTGTTTTTCTTCTTTCGTATCATTTTACCCAATTAAATTGCAATAGTTGTATTTCAATTTTACAACAAGACATAATTGGTATCAAATAGGTTCTATACTATACTGTACATTCCTACATCTGACTTTATTATGCATTTTATTGTTCTACCATCGATATAATGAAAATTTACATCAATACTATTCAACATGGCTAGACACTACGATCCTATACCGTCGATTGGAATATCATCAGAACCAAGTACAATGAATATTCGGGCAATTTTACGAAATTGCCTACTACGTAAGTACAATACAGTGAATAATGAATATTGTAACACAAATAAGTGAACGGTCGTAAGAAATTTTCTCCCCCCCCCCCCCGCAAAAAACATGTGTGTATAATGTACATGTCGTGCAATTTTTGATCAAATTAATTGAATAGGATAAGTACAGTAGTATATAATTGCTATGCTATGAATTGTTTTTTCACTACGCGTACAGTCAAAGCTTTCTTGCTAAAATACTGTGACTACGGAAATACGGAGGAAATAATCAAATACTGTTAAAGTTGTTTGCCCTCCACTGTAGAAATGGATAATCCACATTATTATTAAAAAAATTGGACTACAATAGAGATAATCTTGAAATATTATAGGAATACCGTAATATCCATTTCGAAATAGCCATACGCAAAGTCCTTTTATAATAGCTGTTATTAAAGAACATTAAAAAAGATATTGTATACGTTTAATATTTAATTTATCAAGACAGTTTGTGGTTTAAATTTAAAATGATAATAATCTAGTGTACGCGCACAAAATTACCTATAATAGCAAACATGGCCATTAGCGCTGGCTTACATGCAACTCGATAGTATTCTTATTGCCGGTATAGCAACGCTAGCCGTGGTTTAGCACTATATTGAAATAATTTTACTAATTATTCTCGGTAATCTTTTGTTAATATCACAAGGTAACTCACTTTTACAAGTTGTTTTTATTCCAGTTTACTATACAAGTTGCTACACGGTAATAAAATGCATTAACTGACCAGGCGCCCTATTATTTGTAAACTAAATGCTTGGCTATAACTACATCTCTATCGTAATGTTAGGCACTGTACTTATGTATATCCCAAAATATAACATAATAATAATAAGATGTACTGTATGTACCTTTTAACTTCGCGTTACAGTTACCGTCGATACGAAGATATTATCTACAGGATTTTCTAGAACCAATTCTAACTTTTAAAATTCGTAAATTAAACCTCTCTGAAATAATGCTATATTAGACAATGTTTAAACATTATAAAATAGTAAAAGTACTCCTCAGTAGTTCCATAATTTATCTAAATTTTCCACCCTAAATGATTGATTAAAGCACATAAACTATTCCACTTCGTTCCAGTATCAGTTTTATAACAGACTATTTTATTTAAAATCTTTCACAAAATTATCTTATCGTCATGCTATTCATCAACTTAATAATAATTATTATCTAATATTGTCTAAATACCAGGATGATTGTTCGATTTATTAGGATTACAAAGAGCGTTTGAAATTACTAGCGATTTACAGTAATTACTCCAATGTGTTGGCATTAACTTTTTCTTTTACGAATGAGTTCAGCTCTCCACTGCCAACATACTATGTACACCCTTATTAATACTGACATACTAACATTAATTGCTCTAGACTACAATGCTGTTACATATTTTTGTATTAGCAATTCGTATTGCATTATTATTATTACATCACAACTGTAGCAACAAACGTGAGTAGATCCAAGGGATGATATATATACTATACGAGTATACACACCGGTCATTATTCTTTCATGGCAACATGTTATATCATTGCTCTACAGTATATCCAATCCGGCTAAAATAAGGGTGTTTTATAATGCTTCATAAGATGCATTATTTATTGAACCAACAGTTTAATATTTTTTACCTCCTTAATTAATTGAGTAACGTACCAAGAAATTTTCAACTGCATTTATTTATGGTAAAGCTTAATAATCTACTTTAAGTTTTAAAATTGATCAATATTATTGTCAGAGCAACTTTAATCGAAACGAAAGTTGTACCATACGTTAATTAGACCTACCACTACACTTCAGTCAATTACATATAACATACAAGTTATAGCAAATTACAAAACCATTAAGAAATCTCCAAATAAATGCCTCATGCGGTGTCATTGATAATATAGTTATTGACTATCTTATATTATTTTTAAATAGAATTTTACGAAATCGGGATACTTTACGTGAACAAAAATTCGAAATTGATATAATGGACGATGAAATTGATAGTATAATCGTGGAAGAGGTTATTGATACTGTTGTGACGTATAATTATATTTGTAAAGTTAGATATCTATTCGGAAACTGCTTAGATCCCAATGGACTAATGATATGGTATAGAAGTAATATGATTTAAATGCAACATTTTCTGGCTATAAATAGGGTATTCAAGTTAAACTACCAAAAGAACTTGTCTCTATGAAGGGATATTTAACTATTGCACCGAACTCTAACGACACATCAGTGACATTAAAGGTATAGGGGTGTAAATATTAGCCTATAAACAGTTCATTTAGTAATTACCGACCTCAATTTTGTATCATCGTAAACGTTTGATAAAATTTAATTATACTGTATTCTGACTTTTATATCTAATCCTTTATACTTTTTCTATTATAGTCTAACCGAAGAATGTGGTTCTTTTTAAAAACTAGTACCGATAGCAGCTACATTATCGAATATTTTAAAGTAATTAAATAGCCCATAAACTAAATCTAATTAAATATTCATAACTTTAAAACCAAGTTCCTACCTAATGAATTCAACTGAAGTATTAATTTAAAATTGTTTCTCTTTTATTTTATAGGGTCGTGAAAGTCATTTAGCGTCTGGGTCTATTTTACTGCCTGAATCAACTCGTCTAGCAAAGGTTAGCGATAGCTGTAAATCTTATCAGTAGCCATGTTCACGTAGTGATCTAATACGTTATATACGGTATAGTAGAATTTTAGCTCTGATATATACGCCGTGGTATTATTGGAGTGTTACAATGTGCACTTTTGATCGGATGATTCTTAGCATGTTCTGTATATTTTTTCTCTTACAGTTTACATATGATACTAGACAGTTTGGATTTAGTTTACAACTGCCAGATATGACTTATGGGCTCATAGCTGATTCACTAGCCGAAAGAGATCAATGGTACGACACTTTATGCAAGGCCCTAGGTTCAGAAAAATTTATCGAAGAAAATTCAGACAAACAACGTAAGTGTAATAATATACTATAATGATGTAAATATTCTAAAATATTAAAATTTAATTGATAGAACTGTCAGTAATGCTTATTATTCTGCATAGATACTGTAAGTAAATTTTACATATTCACTCGAAAATAGCAATTTAATTTTAAAACTATTGATCTAACCACATAATCAATATTAAAAATGTTACATAGCCAATACCCAACGATATAGTAGTTTGAGAGATAGCCTACTTCATAGTCGCTGTCCAGATTTAATAAAGGTAAGTAGTAATTTAATTAAATATAAAGTACTTATCGGTTAATATTATTACTGTATTCATATGTATTAATTCGATAAAATGTTAGTAATATTCGAGTCTATTTATGTTATTATTTGCTAATGCTGTAATTATAATTATCGTAGTATGCGAAAGAAATTGATTTTCAAAATGCCCTGAAGCGGACCGAAAGTAATAGAAAGTTATTTTCTATTTATCCCGATCTTGAAGTATGCACCATATTGGATGAAGTTTTTATACTTATCGATGGTAGATATTTTTAAGAACGAAATATAACAATAGACTTTTATTTAAATTAGAGTGCAGAAAAATTTGCCCAAGATGAAGGCTTACCGGAAGCCGTGTCTTTTATCGAGCAATTAGGAACTAGATTTATACTACGTCCCAAAGAATTACTCTTTCGTCTGAATATGAATATAGAAAACGTTGTATCTAATGTTAGTATACTGTATTACTTTGTTATCATAGTTTGCTATTCTAAAGAAGCATAACTGGATTTTTTTAAATAATGTTTTGCATTCTTTATTGCTCTGCTTCAATTGATGAATTAGGTTGAACCATTTTTCATTAGTGTTGCACTATATAATGTGCAAGATAACTTAAAGATATCGGAAGATATTCATTTCGATTTAAATCATTCCATTATCCGTGACAATCTGCCAGAGGGTGAAGCGAGATTTTCTAATGAAGGAGAGGAAGTAATAGATGGTACTACTAGTGGAAATAATTCTGGTGGCATAAACAGAAATCATATGGCGGTATTCGATAATCGTGCCTATACTTATAAACAAGAAGTAAATAGATTAAATTTTTAATTTTTCTACTAAATATATTATACAATATTATGTATTAGATTTTACACATGTAACTTTTAAAAGTAAGTTGTTCATAAAAAACTATATGTTATTGAAATGGTATCAACAGGCTGTATTTTCCGTGACCTGCCCGAGCACTCATGTCTATATGGTCGTTCGTATAGAGAAAGTTTTGCAAGGAAGTATATCTGCTTGTGTTGAGCCGTATATTAAAGGCGCTGACAATCCAAAGGTAATTGTATTATCTTCCATATATGCTTACATATTTACCAACGTATAATACAATAACGTAACTACTATCGCATTTATTAATAAAGTTATATTGTTCCTATGTTATTTTGTATTTTTATATTAGATTGCTCAAAGAGTGCATAAACAAGTCACTTCAATTTGTGGTCGCTTAGGCAATTATCGCATGCCATTTGGTTGGGCATATAAGCCAGTCTTCAAAAATACTAACGGAGAATTAGACCCACAAGAGTTTTCACCTATCTTTAAGCAAGATTCTGGCAAGCTTAGCGATGAAGATTTATTAAAATTTTTAGCGGATTCTAATAAGATTAAACTTCCTACCATCCCTGGACACTTTGTAGCAGTTCTAGAGTCGCTAGGAGCTGACCAGCCTGAAAGTATGAGTTAATAATTTATTCTAGCTATGAAAACTATTAGCTATCGCAATAACATTTATAAATTAAATACAACCCCGAGACCTCTTGTAAAAGTTATGCATTTTTCATATATTTTAAAAGATTGCGTGACACCTTCTATTCAACCAATCAAACCTTTCAAAAGTCAAGATAGCTCCTTACCAACCCCTGTTATCAGGGAAGTTGATGAATTTCTTACAGCAAACCCGAAAGCACTCCAGCCTCACTTATCCTACTATAACAATTTGTATGTGTATCCGATTACAATAAGGTTCGATGGGCAGAAAACATTTGCGAGGGTAAGGCAATGCCTAAATTGAGTAACGCTATTACGTTAAGATGTGTTAAAAAGTTGAGTTACGCAAAACATTTGTTTTTATTTCAGGCCCGTAATCTTGCATGGACAGTTTCATTTTATGATTCTGACGATGTACAAGCATCTGCTTTAAAGGTTCGTGAGAATATTGATGGAATATGTTGCGATTGTTATACACAATAATATTTCTTTGTTAAGAAATCAAAAAACTTTGTTATTCATTATTTAAAATTCAATATTAGTGTATCTACGGAGAAGGAATGCAAGCCGAATTTGTCTCAAGTATAACCTGTCCAGTGTTATATCATAATACTAGCCCTTCTTTTAATTGCTCGGTAAAATCATTGTCAAGATTCTATTTATGATATATGTTATCTTGTAATGATAATCCATTAATTAAATGAAATACCTAATATATGTACTATAGATAAAAATTGCATTGCCTGTACAACTGCATTCAAGGCATCACTTGTTATTTAAGTTGTCACACATAAGTGTTGAACAATCGAAAAATAACGAAAAGTATAGGGTGGCATCAAATGGTATTATCAATTCTTTTACTTTATTTATAAACAAATAGTAATTTAAATTAAATGATAATTTATCTTTTCCTAGTTGGTTATGCTTGGTTACCTATATTACAGGATGGAAGGTTTGTTTCGCCAGCATGTAATTATTACGTTACTTATTGCATCACCTATAGCGGTTAATACAATTGCCTTTTTGTTTATATAGAATTATTGGAAATGAGCATTCTCTTCCTGTAGCCAAAAAGATATCTCCTGGTTATTTATCTAGTCAATCACTTGGCTTGAAAAGAGGAGTAAGTAGGAATATGTATCTCCTAAAGTGCCTACTTTTTTCTTGTCTTCTATGATATTAGGACGTCAAATTTATTTTTACTTTTAATTCCTATAGTTCTCTGGGCCGCAGGAAATGGAATGGGTAGATGGTGGAAGACCCCTACTCAAAGTGTCCACTTCCTTAAAATCAACTATTTACTCTCAGGTAATGTTTAGATTTAAAATTTTATGCGGTACTAAACCGGACTTAAAGACTTAGATATTTTCTCTTTTATAATAGGATCCACATTTTCAGAAGTTTTTCTCAAATTATCAGCAATCTAATGCATCAACACTTAGCAACGTCGAAATTATTCAGCTGATGAAAGTAGGTTTTGATGTATGATGGCTGTACTAGCTAAAAATTGTGCTAATTACCCAGTATTGGCAAATGAATATTTTTATATGGAAATAGGCCTTACATGCTGTGGAATTGAACACTCTAATACCGTTCCTTCCGGTTTTGTCAAACCACCTTTTTCGAGTTCTTCGCAGATATCAAAATGCTGATGTATCTGTAACGGCTTTAAGGTGACTTGGGATAATTGACTGCGCTTTGATCAACTGAATTAAAACAGGACAGAAAATATGATTTTATTAATTGATAGCATTATTATTGCTATTATGATCGTAGTGTCCTAATTTACATGGCATTTAAGCTTCATTCTGCTGGTAGAACTGAACTCTTGAACTCGTATGTAAAGGTAATATGATAGTTATTATCTTGAAGCTTGATTGATGTAATTAGTCAAATAATTACTTTTTTTACACGTTTAATTTGGCCTTTATAACGCTGTTTGTATTATCATCAACATAGTATGTGTTTGTTGCTGATCTCGGACATGGCATCCAAAACACTGTGCATGAAGAATTGGTTCGGAATATGATAGTAATTTTTGAAGGCAGGCCAAATATCGATCCTGCATTATCCAGCAAGCTTTTGAATGTAATCTTGTAATATATCCAACCTATTTCATTATATTTCTGAGAATAAATGCGCATAATTTTGCACATAACTTCTTGCTAACGCTTTAACTCTATACTCCCAATTAGTATTCGTGGTTCTTTTTCGATATTATGGTAAAAAGTATGGCTCAGTACCTAGTCCAGACTGGCAAATTGAAGGTATAGACATCGACATAAATGTTTCCCTGAAAGTCTTTAATTAAAAAAGCTATTGTTGAACCTACGGTCTATTTCTGTTTTCGTAGGCTAATCGGATATTTCGATATAGCGATCACTATCTTAATGATTTAGAAGAATTAATTGTTGCGATGTTAAAGCAAATCAGGAATAAAGCTGATGATGCTCCAGCCACGGTAATTTCTAAAGTACAGTATATAAAAATGTAATCCTAGAGGATGTTTGATGTATTCATTTTTTATCTTTTTCTTTTCAAAGAATGCCAATCAAAATTTGGGTCATTTCCTTAAGGTAAATATTCCTTGGATGTACTTGACTTTCATCATATCATGTATTCTTACTAAAGATTTACACTGTACTTACATAGAATTGTATGACATACATGAATCGAGGATTCTTACTAAAAATTATTAAGTTTTACACCGAAAATCTAAAGTGTGGTGATCATTCTGTTAGTAAATTTTCAATTTGCCTTTTATATTTTGCGGTCTATTATATCTCAGCGCTATTGAATACTAATATTTTCGCTCTTTTTCAGAAAACTATGAGAATGAAATTTGATTTTCTTCAAATTATCTGTAGCCATGAACACTATATTCCGTTGAATTTACCTTATGAAGAAAAACGTAAAAAATTTCATACACTCGTATACTGTTATACATCATTTAAACTAAATTAATATCGAATGTTATTAATTTTTTAACATTTCTTACGTAGCTCCAGCAACCTTCGACCTAACAGATGATTTTCATAAAAAGCATCCTTTAGTTGGTCTCCTTTTGAAAGAGGTTAAATTTAAAATATTGCATAAATATCTGGAATATTACATTTACCATTGACGTCTTTTGAATCTCTTTACACTCGATATAGGTTCAAACTGCAATGCAACAGCATGATTCCAATGTTAGGAAACATGCCTTAAAAGTTTTGCGTAACTTATTAATAAAGCATGACCTAGATGACCGATATAATGATAAGGTAAGATGTTTTACCATTCGGTCACTTTTTTATTGCTATTTTCGTTCTATTAAATTAAAATTTGTATTATACATGTATGCTTAAATTTTAGCATTTCTTATTATATTTTTTATTCTAGATATGCCAAGCAAGAATTGCAATGCTCTATGTTCGTTTCTTTTCGATTGTTTTCCAAAACTCGCATAAAATTAAAGCAAGTAAAGCTGTGATTCCGCCCGATTCAGCTCCGGTGTCTCCTTTCCCTTCTGATGATATAGGAAGTATGGCACCATCCAGCTCATGTCAGTCACTGACTTCAATTGGTCGTGGCACTACTACAACCAATACTAATGGAAGTACCGCTAACACAAGTGTCTTTGATCGATATGCTACACATAATAAAAGCTTTTCCGGTACAGCGATACCAGTTATTCCAGTACAAATTGATGATGGACTATCAAAGGATTTATCGTCAAGTTCGACATCACTTAATAAAAGTGCACCAATGAGGAGTGTTTCATCATCTGTAATTAATATTGATAACATTCACATTTAAATATTTTACTTCTTTACTTACTTAATTACAGTTACTAAATGGATAAACGCGGTATTTACAATACTTATTAAATTTAATAACAATAGGATGCAACTGCGCAAGAAAGAACATTCGCGAAAAGATATAATTCATTGAGAACATCTATAGCTATTGCAACAGATTTCAAACAGTTTCCTGGTCATTTTGATGAAAGGGAGACGAAAGATATATTGATCTGTTTTATATACGTCCTTAGAAATTTAGATGATGGTAGGCTTATTTCAGACTTTATCGTATAATAAAAGGGGAATTATTTAAACATTTTGTACGACTTGATTGGCAGGTTGCCTATTTACTTGGTGGAGAAGTGCCATGGCATTCGCCTCTAAGCATCCTGCTGGACAGTGGGAAATAATAGCAGAGAAAGGACTTAACAATTTCTCACAGTTATTAGCCTTTTTCGATATCTTAGGGTAATTTTAATCGAACCGCAATTTATGTTTTTAGATAGTATACAATCTATTAAAATACTATAACTGTATCTTTTGTTTTAGTGCAACGGTGTCCTGTTTTCGATATGTGGGAAGGAAATCTGCGTCTGATACTAGGTTAGATAGTCAATGTGCTGCTGAAATGATTTCCAATTCAACTAATACCTGTAATTAATCTTATAGCCTGAAAGTAAATCAAGCTAAGGCAGCTCTCGAACAAGCCTATGCGACCATAGGAAGTAGCCGTTCCACGTCTCACTATCGAGGTAATAATGCTAATGGTAGCATTTGATCCAGTTTGATTATTGAATGTATTCATTAAGGCTTTACATTCAAATGGCTCAATTTTAGAGATCTATTCTCTTTTAGGAGAACAGCGTGCCCAGCGTCAATCACTTATTAGTAACCAGAAGGAAGTCAAAAGTTAGTAACCACTTTATCTTATCTACTAACAACTCACTTGATAAAATTTGGACGGTACATGTAATTCTATTTTGATTATCAAAAAATTTTAGGCAGTGGACTTGCGAAAGCAGAGAAAGCCATTCTCACTCGTACCATTTTAGAAGGAAATATGGCAAATGAAATCGGCTTTGTTGTTTTGAGTGTGTTGGAGGCGTTTTGTATCCACTTCAAAGTACATTACATTTTATCATATAGCAAAACGAATTCAGATAACTTTAAGATTTTTAAAAGCAAACTATTGCTCTATTTCTTGCATTAACTTAGACACAACTGGAACAAGATAATGGAGATAATGTTCTTATGAGAAAAGTAAGTCGTTAAATTGTTACGCAGTATGTATTCACTGAACACTTTATCATATTTAAGTGTATAGGTATTTCAATTGCATAAATTAATCGATTATATTATCCACTGCTATGTCATAGGTATCCAGCCTTTTAGTACTATTCTTGCAAATTGGTCAATCGGAATTTCTGCTAGAACATGTTTTTGCTGCTATTAGATCGTTTATAAACAAGGTAAGAGTAGAATTTCACTAGAATTTTGGGTAAAACAGGTGATTCATTATGCAAATAGCTCAATTTACTTATTGATGACCATATCCGCTTAGTTTCCTGTCGTTTTATTTCGTGGGACGTCGTCGTTTTGTGCCACATTATGCTATGAGGTACACATTAATTAGTGCTTCAAGTTTTTATTACAACTCGTACACATGTTCTTTAATCACGATATTGTTTGATTTAATAGATTTTACAGTGTTGTAAATCAAAGTTATCTACCGTTAGACAACAGGTACTATTTGAACATTTAATGACTATTAGCTCTCTTTACTTCACCAAAACTGTAGTTTAATTTATAATTTTGTTCATATAATATTAGGCTAGTTTAATATTATATCTTCTAATGAGAAGCAATTTCGAATATACTGGGCGGGATTTCGTTCGCGTGAATTTACAGGTATGATTCTATACACTATGGCTTATAACTTCTGATTTAACTATCGCTGCCGTATTTCACGATCATATCGATATCACGTTAGGCTACGCTGGCTATCTCAAGGATCATATCTGGCGTTTCTGGGAATACTGATGAAGGTTTAATAAAGTCTTCGCTAAACCAGATATCATCATTAGTTAATTCTGACGAAGGAATGAAAGTAAGTAAGATTTATTATTAGATTAATATTGTAATTCTTGTTGTTAATAATAAACTACTTTTACTAGCAAACCCTGTTTCCGAGCCAAGTCTACAACCTGTTAAAGCGTTTAAGGACAGTTTTAGTAGCTATGAATAAAATGCAGGTATTTTTAACTACTATAGTCTATACGCATCTGTAAGTTTTAGTCATTGATCGAACGATATCTGATTTATTTTACTATTTACAGAAATATAGAGATGACCCGGAACTTTTAATAAAACTTCAATATAGTTTAGCTCAATCATACGTTAATAATCCTCAACTTCGTCAGTATTGGCTGGAACAAATGTGTTTAACGCACGAGAGTCATGGAAATATATCAGAGGTAGATACTTTAAGAGTTATTTTTTTTCAGCAGCAATGGCAAAATTGTATTGATAATACATACTTTTATATAGGCTGCCTTATGTCAAGTGCATATTGCTGCGCTTATTGCGGAGTACATGCAAAGAAAAATGAACTATGATCATAGCTGTAGGGTTTTTACTCGAGTTTCAAATAATATAGTAGAAGAAGAAAATTTACAAGAAGATAAAGCAGCGGAAGACGTAATTGGCTATACTGAGGTATATATTAGAATTGCGATCAATACGTACTTCATATTAATTATTGGTAATCAGAAATGTAGCGTTCGTAATTGACACATGTTTTTGATATTTTTGCTAAAAATTCTACAATGCAGGATTTATACGTTGAAATGATGGAAAAATGTGTAAAATTATTAACAATCGCTGAACGTTATGAATTGGTTGCTGAAATTTACCGATTATTATTACCAATTTACGAACGCCAACGACATTTTCAAGTAAATAGCCATGTGCAGTTTCCAATGAACATATTGCATTTTTATTGTATCATATCATGGAGTTAAGATATACAGATCAACAATAATATAGCTTTTGATAAAAGTATATGGAAGGATTAATATATAGAACTTGCGTATTTAGTATTTTTTTAAGATCATTATTTATATCGATGTGTCTGTAATTTAATTTTTGTCTATAAAACAGCAATTAGCCGATGCTCATGGTCAATTACATGAAGCTTACAAGAAAATTGTAGAAGTTATGTCTAGCGGTAACCGATTTTTAGGAACTTATTATCGTGTTTCATTTTTTGGTCAGGTATGCACCTACTATAAAATTATAATTGAACACTAAAATGATTAAGATTAGTATGGTACAATTTTAAATTTCGAATTCATTTCAATAAATTAATTTAAGGAATTCGAAGATGATGGTGGCAAGGAGTATATTTATAAAGAGCCTAAAGTTACAGGCTTATCTGAAATTTCGCAGCGGCTAAGTGCAATGTACGGAAAGAGATTTAATAAAGAAGTAGCGATTATTCAAGATTCGGGACAGGTATAGAATCCATAAATTTATACCATTATTTTTTTGAAGACTATTGAAGAACTGACAGTATTACAGAATTATCACAGTGATTACTTATAATGCATACTTAAATTTATCTACCGACAATCAATAGGTTGATACAAAAACGTTGGATGAAAAAAAAATATATATACAAGTGACCTTTGTTAGTCCTTACTTTGAAGAAGAGGAGCTGGAAAATCGAATAACTGAATTCGAACGTTCAACTAATCTACATCGATTTATGTATGAAACACCTTTTACTTTGAGTGGTAAAACTCACGGAGCTCTATCGGAGCAATACAAACGAAAAACAGTCTTAACCAGTAAGTATGGACTATGTAATACTACTACAACTAAAAGTGCTTTATCTTTAAAAATTTAATGCTGACTATTTCTGGTATTAATTATGATGCTGTTGACCGCTTACTAACACGATATTATCGAGATATAAATGCATTCCAGTGATTGTCTTCTTTTTTTCTAACTTAAATTATTAGCTTCGCACTTCTTCCCATACATTAAGAAACGTCTATTAGTCGTCCAAAGAGAACAATTTGAACTGACGCCTGTGGAGGTAGATATTAATTGCTAATGATAAGGTAGAAACAATAAAAGTCCTGTACTGTAGACTCTAATGGGTTTCTTATTACAGGTTGCTATCGATGAGATGCAAAATAAGATTAGTCAACTCTATGAGGTTATAAGAGACCCGCCTGATATGAAAAAATTACAATTAGTGTTACAGGGTTGCGTCAGTGTCCAAGTGAGTTTGGCGTAAATTGAGACAGCCATTGTTATTTTTTATCATACTTAAAATATTCCATTAAGGATACAATTCTATAATGATTTGTACGCATACATTTAATATTATATTCCAATGGTGTTGTTATTAATACAATAATATCTTTGAAAGGTTAACGCTGGCCCGATGGCTTATGCGAAGACTTTTTTAAGTCCAAAAACTGTTCATAATTATGCACGCCATCATGTTGAAAAGCTAAAATCGGTTTATCGGTAATTTTTTTAATTATAGCCATAATATGGTGTAGATGATGCACGATATTGTATGTTGTTCTTTGATATTTGTTAGTTGAGAAATACTAATTCCATATTGAAATATAGATCTTTAACATGTAATTATATGTATTTTGCTTTTAGGTTATTTATGAATTTATGTGGTGACGCATTAGAATTAAATGGAAAAATTATCAAAGAAGATCAGCGAAAATATCAAGAACAGATGATTCATAATTATGATGAGATGATCAAAGATCTAACGGTTGTTTTAGGTGCCGAGGTATGCCTTATTTTTAGTCATGATTATTACATATTGCAAAATTAATAATTTTGATATTAATAATGCATTATACGTGAATTCTTTAATTATGATAGTTCAGTACGTTAATAGGATAGTAATAATATCACAATTTAATCACATTATTTATCATTTGCATTGATTACATCTATAACTATCTATATACATAATCTATTCGTTAATAGAAAGCCGTGCCGGAAGAGGATGTTGTTAACGAAGCTACAGTCTAACATTCGGTGATCGCATGAGTCAATGAAAGTTTTATAAGCTGGCAATTAGTTTTGTATTTCATTTTAATGTACAATATTTTTCCAAGTTAATATCTATTCTGTTGTTTGTTTTGTCTTTCACTGATTCGCTTGTTTTATACACAAATTAATCTCACGCGACATTTCAATCTATTCTATTCTTTTCTATTATACTGTATAAATACGCTAGTGAACTTTTTTGAAAAAGAAAAATTTCTTATTCTGCTGTACTGGGCTTTATTTTCTCATTTACTTGCTTAACGGATGTTTCCTTTCTTATTCTTGATACATGGAACGAAGAAGTTGCATGTTTTATTGGAAGTCAATTTCATTGTTGTCGTTACTGTAATTAGACATCTTTCATGGTGTCAATTGTATAGATATCTTTTATTATCATTATCGCAAGAGAATATTAATAAAGGCAAAGCTAGAAGTACGAATGAGGTAGCCGAATATATACTATATAAATATATCTATATAAATGATGTTTTTAATAGCTTTTTTAATCGATTAAGGGATTATAAAAGGCATTTATTTATCATTATTTGTGCAGAAGTAATTACTTCATAAATAATAATATTGGCGCATAATAATAAGCAATTTAAATCAGTGACGTACAATCTGAATATTCAATCAATCCTACCATGTTTAATAGCATATGCTATCTTCTTTATCCTGTGCTCGTGCTCGCCATTGCTTATTATTATAATTTGCTGATAAAATGTTTTTGAGATTTGAAATAATAAATTAGTTACAACGATATACTAGATAGGCTTAGATTGTATCTTGAAAAATCATGATCATCGCCTCTTAGTCTATTGCAAGCCATCAACAGATCATGGGAGATCGTTTTTGTAAGTTATAACTGTGATTAGGAATGTGGCCACTGCTGAGCCGATTATTTGCACGGAGGTGATCCGTAAATGTCTTAGCTGAGTAACAGTCATTAACAGTCGAAAATTAATGGAGTCCAGACAGAGATTGATAAACAGAGTACCCCCCAAAAAGAGATCACTAAGCAAATAAGTAAACTGATACTAATTAAAAAATAAATTAATACCTTAGTCAAACAACGCCAACATGTCTGACCACTAGGTGATTATTGTCCTGATCAACACACATTAAATTTGTAGAAAATGTAAATGTGCTAGTAGGTGGTCGATTGTATTTTATTGCTTGTTGTATGTGTACTATGTATGAGCGTCTATTTATATATTTATTAAAATTGCAGTTATTGCTGGTCAATGGCTAAATTCACTCTCTTTCATGTTCAATCAATTAATGAAAGGTATCCTAAACAGTTCTACGTCAATTGTTATTATTAGCATATCTAATCTGTGGTATACTGATGAACTATTGCTGCAGTAGGTTAGTTATAAACGATAAGGATATACAAATGATATCATTTTCTTATTCTTTTTCCCCTCTCTACTAGAATTGATTGTTCGTTATCCTGTACCTTGTAGAGAACGACAACAAACAACCCACTGTCGTCATTCTGTCTACTAAGGTGTAAAATTGACGTCGCGACAAAAAAGAATGCATGCGATTACATTTTCTTACCCATTAATTTAGAAATTAACAAGCAAGCGTGTCCATTGAAGATTGAACGTGTAATAACAACTGCGGCATAGTTGAAAAGTACACCAAGAGTATAATAATATACATCATTGATCAATGATATCTAACTTACAAAAATATCATTGCTGAACGTACAGAAACAATCTTACTAAAAACTATCTACTATCATTTCTTCCGCATTTTCGTCATGTTGCTAGCACGGTATATATTTTTATTACGATATTTATCCTCTTATAACTTATCCAAGAATCCATTCTTAGATAATATCTAGATGGTTAGCAATAGGAATAAAATATCGCTAACTTTTAAAACGAAAATTGCTGTACTTTAAGATATTAGGGAATGGAAAGAATTAGAGATTTAATATAGATAGTTCATGTTTTCGATGTTCGATTTATATTGCCATTAGCCAATATTATCATTTTTTGAACAGCTTTAATTCTGTTTGTCTATTTTCTTACTTAAATTTATGTAGTGATCATGCATGTTTTATATTTTTATTAATTTATAGTAAATTTAAAAACTGAAATTAACGCATAACATTATAGAATGAGCTAAAGTTTGATTTCTAAATTAAAAAATCTAGCTACTATCACTACATCATACTGTTTTATTGGCTGTCTATCTCTTCGGCATCAGGTTAGTACCTACGCGTACATAACTGTATAAGTATCTGACTTTACTACGGGTATATCTTATTTATATGCTTAACTTTCATACCGGGCTAATGTTATAGATATGCGTAGTAAACGTTTAAAAAGAATTCTAGCTTTATAAAGATTTTAATGCGTGAGATAAATTATATCTATTTAATATTTAGGCAATGTAAAGCACTTTCTGTCTTGAAAAAGTCATATGCCTCTCTTTGATATAGGGCTAATGCTGTAGATATGCGTAGTGAACGTTTAAAAAAGAAATGTAGTTTATGAGGATTTTAATGCTTAAGATAAGTTTTATCTACTTAATATTTGGGCAATACAGTGCACTTTCTATCTTAAAAAGTCCATAGTGCCTCACTTTTTATATAAAGCTAATGCTATAGAAATGCGTAGTAAAGGTTTAAATAAAGAATTGTAGTTTATGAGATCTTCAATGCCTAGGACAAGTTATATCTGTTTGATATCTGTCTTGTAAAAGTCCTTAGTGTAGAAATTTCATTCCGTACTGTCATAATAGTCCAATAAGAAGTTTTCTATTCGTTAGTATATAGTTAGATACCATATACCTAGTGAAAAATACTTCTTTGAAAATTAATTTTTGGCCTATACAGTATGTGGATAACATATGACTGTACCGTACAGTCTAACCTATATCAAATTCATCTCGGATTACTTTATATTATTTAAAAACGTTTATCCGTTCTAGAAAAACTTCATTATGGTCAATATTGGCATTTGATAGAGTTAATTGGTGACTACTATGATTTAATAGTCTTTCACGCCTATAATAACTATAAAAAATTCTCTCAACTTGCGCCATGACGATCAAAGATAGTATCTCGTATCCATTTTTCAACACCTAGGGAGTAAAGAATGGATTTTCATATTAGATTTTATTCTACTATTCCAATTTTACTCCTTTCGTATCCTTTAAACCCATTCCGATTTATTTTTAATCTTTAATTAAGCACCACAATCAAAAATAAATTGATTTTGTAGGATTAAAGTATACCCACATTTTATTATTTTTACCTTAGTCTATTGCTATGGCTGTATTTATTGGCTACTTATCCCAAGTTGATATCTAATTGCGATTTGCTATTCTATTTTTACTCATTCAGCTTATAGATCTTGTGGCTGCCAATTTGGCAAAGATCGCTATCACTGCGGTCAACAATGGCATCCTAACCTCCAACCTTATGGAATTTCATACTGTATTCTTTGTACATGCAAATCGGTAGGATATTTAGAAGTACACAAATAGAGCTAAAAGCAAATTACAGAGTTAATTTTAATCATTCCACGAAGTATTACTTTTCAGATGATTATCAATACAATCTCCTATCGATAGCACTATTGTAAAATTGCACTTCGAAATAGTTTTTTAAAAAATGTCTCCATTATAATGTCGAAAAATTCGCTACATGTGTAGATATCGGTTTTAAGCCATAAACCAAAGCGACATTGAACCTAAAAATTAATATCTACTGTAAATGATTTATACCTCTAGCAGCTAATCAATGTACAATAACATGTTGATTTTGGGTCACAAATTCATCAGAAATCATGTTGATCCCTGCTGTGAATAAATTATATGCATATATCACCTAAATCAAGCCATTGAAAAGAGCCATGGACCACTAGAAGAATAGGTTTTCTTCTAGTGGTTCATGGAAGAGCGAATGGAGACAATCTTAGTAGTCAAATGGTTACTGCTTCTAACACTGAAATAACTTCATTAACTTATTTCGTCTTTTCAATTTATTCTTTGCTGAAGTTAAAGATAGATATAATCGTCCTCGACAATGATAGAAAAAAATTCATAGGAATTGAATAATATTTTTATCATGGCCATTCGTGTTAGATCACTGATCCAATAAGAATGCCCTTTTCACCCCTAGTTAATCCATTGGATAAGCTATTTCTCTATGAATAGAGAGATTCATGGGAGCTTAAGATGATTTAATTATAATCTCTTTCATATGCCTATAGAATGGAGCAGTGGAATGTGTCGATCTGAAAAACAAATGCGAAAAGCCAACATGCCAAAATCCTTCAGTCTTACCAGGCCGTTGCTGCCCACAATGTCCAGGTATGTATGTTGTTACATTAGACTAAGTGTTTAAATGAACTGGATAGTTTCTTCGATTCACTTTTATTCACCTTCCTGTCATTGAAGTTAAGATACATAGAAAGAGAAAAAGGGGAAAAGGATTCATTTGATCCTATGTCCACATTTATTCTCAGTCAAACGAATATGCTCATTGATTGATCGTAACTTACTCTTTATTATGATCACGTTAATAGTTTATACTCTATTCACTTCCATCTCATGTATGATAAATCTATCCTAGCACCGTTTGACAAAAAGTTATTATAGGCTGCCTTTATATTGATTTTCTTCTTTCTAATCTCTTTGCCCATTCCTTCAGCTTCTCTATAGAGTCTTACACGATTGAATTCTAAGAATCTTATTTCTTAATTTACCCTTTTCACACAGCTTTCTGATCTAATTGCTAACTTCTAATTGCTAATTCATATTGAGTTGTCAACCAGTTCGTAGTGTCGAGACGGTGAAAATCAACATTATTTTGATATGTACAACCATAAAATGGAAGAGGAGAGCAGAGAAATAGCTACAACAAGATTCTTCATTAGGCGTAATATGGGAAAGAATTGAGCATAAATTCTCCTTAATACCATACGGAAGGAATACTTTAGCTGTCCTGTCTTGATAATTTTATGGCAGATAAAATAGTAGAATAAAATATCAACTCAAATAATTACGTTATGGGTATTAAGTTAAGAATAAAGGCGAAGCCATAAAGTCAATAATGATACAATCTAATAATAGATATTGTCGGTAATTGAATATGCTAACTTCCATATCAACGACTATCACCAGTGTCCTTTTATTTGCACCACTTTGCCATAAGTAATACAGTGATTTCATTATGAATGTTGAAAATCTACTGCCTATGCCAAGATAGATAGACTAGCAGGATTAAATATAAATACATCAAAAAGGTCACCCATTTTGTTTAGCCAGCGGAAGATGGATATGTTGGTGTTTGTTTAAATCTTTTCTACTTCTTTGCTGTAGCCTAGTGCGGCAATTATTGTGATTTCTCTTAATGAATTTGATTTTTATTTCCTCTCACTTTAGTTATCAAATTCATAAATAATTTCAATATTATTGTCTACAAAAGTTAAAAATAGCCTAGACAAACTAAAATTGAAATTAAAATACTCTACTACTGTAGTAGTCTATGGTCGATTTATTTACGTCATAGAGAACAAACTTATATCAGTTGATTGGGATTCTATTCTCATCAAAACTGTAATCTTCGCAGATGCTAATTCTTGAATCACTGTCGTCGATAATTTTGATAGTAAACTCTTCATTTAAGCAGTTGAGATGATTGAATATTACTAACGTTACTCTTTATTGGATTTAAGAATTGTATGAGTTCCTTGAAAAATTGAAAAATCTTTAATGAAAGCCTCTTACTGCTAGCATAGTCATTCTACAATCGTTAAACAGGCATTGCTATAGCTACAGCCTTTATAGAGCAGTTGATCATTTTTCATGGCACCTATCATTAATTCCTGCAGTCAATTCATCATTTTTTCCCTTTTAGAACGATCCTAATATTGCACTACATGGGAGTAAAAAATGTACTGGATGTAATTTATTAGTAAGAAATTTTAATCGGCTATAAAGTATTTTACTACTAGTAGTAATATTCGGTCAATATAGAACCCTAAAAGAGACTCATAACACTTAAATCACGAGCCTTGGTCATGAGTTGGCTATTCTGCGTGGTAACTTCATTCCTTGGCTTTCCCCTTTTTAAATTAAAACTATGATCATACCAACTATGTCTTGTAATAAATATCCGACTATAGTAATACTTTATCGACGTAAAGCCCTAACATGGGATCTCGCTTTAATGTATTCAGATCGTGTCGGCTAAAATTACTCCATTGCAGCTTTCTTCCTAAACATCGAGACCGATTTTTTAATATTAATTTCCTCCTTGCTTGAATTAAGCATAAAACAAATATTTCCTTAATAACACTAACAATACATTCTATATAATAATTCTATACCTTGATATATTCGATTTTGGAATAAAAATATTCTACTATTTGTTATACGAGTAGATGATGGCCAATTTATAAAGGTATCTAAAACATGCTTATTTAATTACTTTGCCACAATCCTGTAATAAATCTTATCATCAATTTTTAATATACTCGAACTTAACAGAACAATAACGTTAAAAAAATACTCTACAATATTGGCGAATGATTTTATATAATTTTTTCTACGACAAATCTCTTTTGCTCTCGGCTAAATTATGTAAGAATACATTATAGGATCTGCTGCAGCAATGATATATGCACAACGTATGATAATTGTAAAATAAAATTATGCAATGATTAATGTAAATTCTATACGCATTTCATAGATGACCCAGAGGTCATGGCTGCTACATCATCTCCACCTGCCAGCTACCAACAACCCACTTGCCATTTCTTAGGCAAAGATTATAACAGTGGACAATGTTGGCTTTCTACAGATAAAAGAAAATTGCCTACAGCTACTCGTGATCGTCAGTGTATCGAATGCAATTGCATCGTAAGTATTTAAAGTTGTCACAATTTAGTTCCTGAGTTTCAGTTCTTTATATCAATATCGCAGGCAATTCGATAATGGAGAGATTCATTTATAGGTTTCCTAAGTGGTAATTTGGCTTTCTTACTGATAAATTTTGCTATTGACTAGATTAGCAATTGATATCGTCGTATTCAGTTTGTATCATATATACGTATGAGGATTAGCAACTATAATTAATTAATGGAACCACCATTAATGAACCCCATTATGATTTTTTAATGCTTATTTTCCAATAAAAAATAAATGGAGTAGTTCCTATCCCAATTAATTATTAAATCGATTAAACTGTTAGAATTTCATCAGTATTATTAAATAGCATCAGTCGCTATTTTGTATTATCAGTCAATCTACCAAAATAAATGGATACAACTGTCTTGATAAATTTTTAAATTCATGAGCGCTAATCTATCATACTACTCCTATATTCAAATATACATTAATAGCTTTTCTAGTAAATCATTCAACCCCAAAATTATCAAGATTCTTAATATATCCATCGATAGAGAACTAATTTACAGCGATGATCATTCATATCTTACGCAATATTAATCATAGTTTCTGTAGTTTAAATATTTTCAAGATAAAATTATCTAGTAAGTCATTTAATCTATTGGAAATATTACAATTCTTATAATATTCTTAAAATAGAGTAATAACTACCCCTAGTAAATTATTAATCTTACTAGATTACACATATGGGTATCATAGACATAGTTTTATTTATGGGTTATTTACATAACCGTTTCACTTCCGATCAAAATTATGATATACATTACAATAAAATGTAATGGGGTGAATTCAATAAATATTTTGCATTTGTTGGTAATTAGCGTAAAATTCTCTATATTAATTCTTATACAGTAATATCTTCAAAATATAGCAATAAGCCCCGCAACAAATTATTAAATTTATATATACATTACTATATCGTGATTTTTATAATGCAAGTATCTTCAAAATATAATAGCAAATCGTATATACATATTGCTCTGTCATGATTTCAGTAATATTTCTATTTTGAAGATGTAATAGTAACTAACCTTATGATTAGTAAATCAATATGCACTGCTCTATTACTACAGTATCTCTATGTTATATATCACAAAATCTACCCTAAATGTCCTGCACTATCGTAATTTCCATTATAGATTTTCGAGATATAAGAATAATTACTATAATTATCCAAGTAAATTATTAAATCTACTGAATCATTTGAATATGTTAGATGTATTCTTGCTCCTATTTACGATATTGTTTTTGTCTTACTCACAGTTATAACATAGAGTAAGGATATAGTGAAATAGTATAGAGCGAATTTGGTAAATATTTGTATTTTGATATCAATTAGAGTGGTGGAGTTTTTTGTTCTCCTCGAAAATGCCCAATTTTAAAGTGCAAAAATCAAATTCAAAATAATAATACCTGCTGTCCAGTGTGTAAAGATGAAAGTTTTAGTAAGAGAAAATCTTGCTGATCACATTTAACATAATCGATAAAAATGTTATAGTCTAAAGATCGATTCATACCAACCCAATTTACAATTGCCGTCGAAATAGATAGAATGTTGGTATAAGTATCTGTTCCTACAACATCTTTAAATTACATTTTTTATGCTTTTAGAGACAGAAATGAGTCCATGTGCTAATATGGGCAACAGTTATATTAAAAACTCGCCTTGGCATCCATATTTCCAGCCATTTGGATATTCCCCATGTTATGAATGTGTTTGCAACGTCAGTAAACAATTTTAGCCACATAAGTACATTAAGTAATATTCTTCTAAAATAGTATACATTTATGATAGTATAAGTGTATAGAAGGCTTTAATTTCATAAAAGAGTTTAAGGCTAACGGTACCGTATTGCCTTTCAGAAAGGTGAAGTTAATTGTCGAAAAATTCGGTGCTCAGAGCTCAACTGCAATAGTCAGTCATCATTTTCATCAGGTGGTTGCTGTTCAGTTTGCGATAAAAGCTCTGTCACAACGTATGAAGGTAATTTTGTTTCCATTTCTTAATCAGTTCATTTTTGATAAGATATATACTGCGTATTTTTAGACAAATGAATAAAATAAATTACTTTATTGACTATCGTAGTACTTTATTGCAAGAAAAGAGTAATTCTTGAATCCTTTTGTTCTCTCTAGAATCTCCAAATTCAACTATAGTACCTAGCAATGAAACCTCAAATTTGTTTCAAACTGCAAAACCGAGTTTGCAAATGGCAACTACAGATAAACCGAAAAAGAGTTAGAACTAGATATGATACATCATTATTGTTTAATTGTATACTAGTAGTGTTCCATAATATTAATATCATATCTTGTAATTATATTTTAACTTATTAATTTTATTATCCATAACGCAGTTTGATTATTCTTGCTATCTTCAGGTTGTAAATTTGATGGTCTAACGAAGAGACATGGACAAACCTGGCATCCAGTTCTACCTCCTCTTGGTCCAATGAACTGTATAGACTGCCACTGCCAAGTTCGTATAGTATCGATTAAAAAAATGCTCTTTTCTTTATCGGCCTATAAATTAGTAATAATGGTGAAAATTATCTCACGGTTAGAATGGTAAAGTGACGTGTAATCCTGTAATTTGCCCTACAATATATCCATGTGATAACCCGAAAATAATAGATGGTCATTGCTGCAAGATTTGCTCTGGTAAAAATATATTAATTTAACGTTTTCCCACTTCGCTATAATTTGACTGATTTCTATTTGACCAAGTAAACATTAAGTTGATGAATGAATAGAGCAAATCACTATAGAATATTTAATTCTTTTTGGCTCAATATAATATTATCAATAGAAATTAAAGACCCTCAGTCTACGACTACCACTGTTTCAACTACACCTATATCCACTAAAACACCACCATCAGCGGTCATTTATCGCGTCTACAGATATATTTCTTTTCCATCCCAATACAACTGTAAAGTTCAATTAGCTATCCAAAATACTCAAACAGAAATATTTGAAATTCATTCATGGAAAGGAAACGCAAGCTTCAGGAAATTCAACTTAAAACTGTTAACTTTAGATGATTTCCAATACGGCAACTTGTTAGATTTAACAGGCCAATTTAAATACCTTGGTATAACTACAAAAGGTAAGCTAATCATTCCCACAATCATCTTTGTCTTTCTTCAATTAATATAATATTCCTATTTAAGTTAATACCGTAAATTATGCGGTCTTTCTTTACTATAAGTCTTTTGTACAAAAAAGGTTAAAAGATAGAATAATTTCAGTACTACTCCTCTCTTCATAGACTTATTACTAATAGATAATGACTCGCAAAATGTTTCTTATAGTTTATTCATTTTTAATGATTTATCAACAGATAAAGTGACTGAAATGGAAAAACTTGAAAATCAAATGAAAATTATCAGTTGTCCTTGTTACTGCAGTCACACCATGGAAAGATTATTAACTACATTAATGATTACAAAAAAGTACTAAATTGATGTAGAGAAGATAAAGAATATTAATTGATGTCTTTCACAGTACTTAACATAATCACGCAGCAAATCTTAAAATCGTTATATCTATATAAATCTATTTATATATCATCTTGATTTCATAATTCCTTCCCAATACGATAAGCTTGCTTAACATACATAACAAATCATTACAAAAAACCCAATTATTACACGATATTGTAGCAAAGTCTAAATATGATATATGAATATGTCATAAAAGAATTGAAATCTTTTGAAACTACGAGTCATTGTAAAAGATATTAATAGTACAAGCGACGACTCAATCGTATATATATTTATCTATATTCAGTAGCTACTATACGTTACTTTTAAACTATAGATCTATTTCCTTAATGAAGGACATATCTCCAAGTACGTGAAGTTAGCTCTCTAATAATGTATCGTGATATACAGAGTATTCATTGATAGAAATATTTATTCAATCGGAGGAGTCTAATTATTTACATTAGTTTTTAAGTATATTTTAACTTCCTAAAAAGCTAGGTATAATATCTAAATCTATGATATTCGATAATGTAAAAAGAATAAAATGTTAGTAACGATTTATCCTATAAACGGAAATATGTTCAAGACTGTAGGTAGAAAAAATGTAGTTATATTTCAAGGAAAATGATACAAGGACAGCATAATTAATAAATAAATAAATAACCACTTCGAACAAAAGTCTTACATATTGCATCGATAGCAACATGTTACATATTCCATAACTAACGATAATGAGATTGATGACCATTAAACTTATTAAGTCGACGTAAAACGTCATTAGATCGTGATTGCTGGCTATTAGAGTTAATTAAATTCTGAGACATCCTGCCGGCAGAACGATTAACTGGCATGCGAGTACTCATAAAATTGGTTGAAATCTGATTATCAACCATCGAATTATTGTCCATTAATGACGATGTCATACCTTGCTGCAGCGATCGTTGAGATAAGTTATCTGAGTGACTTGCTATATTTAATGTATCACTAAAACTACTGTCTATTCCCTGATTTATATTAGCAATAGTATTATTATTCATTGATTGAAAGCTGGAATAATCAGACGCAGAAGTTACCATCGTTGTTTGCATTTGAGAACGGCCAACATTTGGAGCTTCAGGATACACCATCGCAGTTGGCATATCCCCCAATAAATCTCTTAATTGAGTCCCCGAATTCTTTCTAGGGGCTCTAGTTTCAGATTGAGATCGATCAGAAATAGTATAAGATGAAACAGGTTGAGATACTTTCACTTGCTTGGAAATTAGTGATTGAAAGCCTTCATTATTTTGTGTGGCATTGCTACGAGCAGTTCCCGACGATGATCCAATAGCAAGATATTGTCTATCACGCATAGAATCAGCTGCAGTAGTCTTCGAAATCGTATTCGTGACCGTAATAGTAGAGGGTGTAGTGCGCTTTTCTTCTTTTTCTTTAATCGTAGAACGCCTACGCTGACGCTTACCAGGAGCAGCTTTTGTTGCTTTTACCTCTGGTTTAATTACAGATGAAGGAGGCGTTATTTCCTTTGGTACAGCTGTCTTGGCATTACTGGTACGATTTTTTACAGTTTTACTTGTAGTTGGTTTAGCAGAGGGTAACGGATTAATTTCTAATTCTTTAGTTGGCAAGTAAAAGACTGGAGATTCTTCTATCATATGACTATGTTGCATAGTCGAAAAAAACTGATTTTCGTACGTCAATGGCTTCCTATCAACTTTAACACCAGCAAAGTATGACCATAAAGTAGGAGAAGAGAATTTGGTACTTTCTAGAATGTCCCAATTATTTACATGCACAGAATGATCCACTGCGACCGTCTAAACCAAAAATATGTAATTCTATAAATAACAATTTCTTACGCATAACAATTGCAAACGATAATTCTATCATCATAAGTAAGGTTCTATACTTTATTTACCTTAAACAACTCATTTTGATAGCAAGTATCGTCAGTTTCACTCGAAACGGAAATAACATTAACTGGCGGAGTTTCAAGCGAAAACAATTTCTTACATTCCCTCACCACAGGGGAATTAATTCCATCCAACTCCTTCTGCATATTTACACAATTCCCTCGTAAATGCTATGATTACAGCCTTATAACGAACAAATTTAATACGATATCTAAGAAGAAAACTTACCCTGAATTTCTTAACCAGCGATGCATTTACTTTTCTAGCCTCATCACTCATTGACGGTACACTTTCTGATACGTTCAAGGTACTTATTAATACTGATAGCATATCCAAGATAGAACTCAGCAGTTGTCTAAAGACAAATTTGTAAAGATTGAAGTATCAAAAGCAATTGAAAATTAGCTTCACTAAAGAATTTAAAGATATTTTTCCTACTTGTCTTCGCTGAATAGATCTATTGTTCCGGAGGCTATAAATTGCAACATTAGGCGTATCCAATCTTTGCATAGCGTTAGATCACGTAATATAGTATCGAATACAGCTCCGATCTATAAAAAAATTTGCCAGTTGCCCTTCATTCTTACTGTCTTCTCAAATAATTAAAAGCGATAAGAATAGAATCAGATCTTACCAAACTAAGGCGCAAATGAATGGCATCGTTTAAGAATTCTCTCTGTTTAAGATTATCAGGCATTCTTTCCTAAAATAATTGCATCAATCGTTTAACTATTAATACTAAAAATTATCTATGCGTAATTTGCTATTATACTATCAAATAAAGAGTACAAATTGTATAAGTTTGTAAGATTTTTAACTTTCAATACCTCAATCGGCGAACGCAAGAATTGTTGAAATTGCTTTTGAATGGAAGATAAAAAGCACCTTTTATGTTCATCTTGGCAGCGTAAGCAAGTTAATATTAGAGAAAGGAAAGGCTTTTGGTTCAAAGTACAGGGACTAAATTATATAAGCACAATCAAAATGTTTAGTCAACGCTTATACAAAGTATAAAGGCTATCGAAATGAAAATGATTTCTTACTTGTCATCGTCCGGTAACCACCATTTTGATCTTTCCAATACTTCTCCAGCTGCTTTTAGAATATGACCCTGAGCAAAATTGGATAATTTCGCTACGAAAGGAGCAATTAAAGAGATATTTCCTTCTTGTGATAAGATGGCCGACATGTCTGATCTAGAAGCGCACTTAGTGATATTGGAAGTTTGGTATACTTTTATAATTGCTTCCGCTAAGTTGTCTATAATTCGCGTCCGCTCCTTGTTAAATAAGCCGAAGAAAATAATTTAGACAATAGCGTGGATATTAATTAAGCTATAAGGGACGCAGACTTACTTCATTGCGCGTACAGAGCTTGATATGTAATTCGATCTCAAGCCAAGTTGTTCTTAGTGACCATTGATTAATATCCTATAAACGAATTTGGTAAATCATCCCATTTATATCATACTGGAACTATCAATACCCTATAACTAATTCATAAATATATAAATATACCTTTAATAGATTGAGCACATCTTCTTTATTAATATCAGTATCAATATCAGAAGGGTCGAAAGTAATACTGTCAGCACAGCACAGCAGATATTGTAGGTAGATGGCCTGATAAAATGAAAAGAAAAGCTACTCGTAAGTATCGATCTGAAATATGACCGTCATCAATAGCTTGGTTTTTACCTGACGCTTTGTCAACATTGAATCTAATAGAAATTCCTTAGAACAACAGTCTCGCAGATTACAAAGAACATGTTGTTGAATTAAAGGCTGAGCACAAATTGATTTTAGAACGTTTAACGCAAGATTAGCGCAAGTAGTATCTGGTTCATCTAATATTCCCATATTTGTCGTAAAATTAAATATGTCTTTGCTATTATTATCTTTATTAGAATCAACCATAGCTGCCATAGTCTTCAAAACAATGTAGATGTAGTTCAAATCTAGGAAATTATATCAATTATAATTATAATATGTTACAGCTCTAATTGCAATCATAATACTAGCTTAAAAAGGAACTCAAAAACGATTAACCACAAACCTAAGGTATGATGCCAAGTAGATAGTAAGCTTCTATCCCATGACTTCAAAACCAGTTCTCCGCTATTATAGTCTACGTAACTATTGACCTCATGCGATGGTTTCTCTAATAGCCTCAGCAAGAGATGGCAACTTAAACGAGCTCCAGCGCCAATTTTGAAGTGTTGATTAACTAAAAATTTTAGAAAACCATATGTTAAATAAGTATAAGAATCTTTTTCTATAATATTTCTCTACTTTCTAACTTACTTGAACGAGAAGTGCGTGTGTCATGAAGCGGTGGTAAAATAACAAGTCTTAATAACTCTTCTAAAGAGAAACAGTGCCTCGAAATTAAAACAGCGGTAAACATGGCAATATTGTCCGCTGATCTGCTATCTGAAATCTAGAAAAAATTAATCAGCCTTTATTATTGAAATTTTAAAGATAAACAGTCAGTGTAGCGCAAGTACTAACTTCCAGTTGCGTCAATAATTCAGTGAAGCCAAAATTTGAACTTGGTGAGCAGCAAAGAGCACGCAATACCCCCATCCATTCACCGTTAAGACCGCTACTGTATGAGGTTACCTCAGCACATAATGTAGCAATATCTAGCAATCTATAAATACAATTCCTTTAGGGTTAAATGGTAAAAAATATAGATTCTTCTGTATAGGTAATTACCTAACGTAAGTGCCGCAGTGATATACATGCAAAATAGCATTACAAACAAAATTGTATTTCTTCATAACGTCATATCGTATGGCCTGACATATCTGATTAGGATTCGCTTCCCTACGATTATATTGGTTAAAAAAATTTTTAAATGGAGTCAAAATTGCACTGGAACACTGTTTACTCGCCTTGGTTCCTTAAATTCTTCACCGAAAATTTTCCAATCAATTGGATCGTTGGATTTCGAAAGTCCGCTACAAGGTAAACTGTCCTTAACCTTTTGAAGAACGCTCTCGAGCTCAGCTCGATTTTTCAGCTAAATCAATGTAATACATGATATTTTAATCTTAAGATAAAACTGATATTTTACAGTTGCCTCACTTGGACCGCTTACCTTTAAATCACTGCAATGTGTAAATATATCTGCCAAACAAGCTAACGCACAACGATCAGCGCTAGAGCATGATGCTGGATTAGTGATATGTTTTACGATTCTCCACAATCTAAAATTAGATCGTCTATTTAATAGCGTACTCTCCTATACAATTGTAGTAACCATTTCATGATTGATTAATTTAGACATATACCCTTCAACGGCTTCAGTAGCTTGCTTCAATGATACCAACAGACAGTTATAATAACGACGGAACACAGCTACTATTGTAAGTACCAAGGATGATCGAGTTTCTGCCGCACCGCTATCGCCCTCTAAGGTATTACGAAAATAATTTGTAAGTGATCATCCTAGTAATGGCATTTATTCAAAATATGATAAAACACTTACCACTTAGTAAACGAATAACAAATTGAAGAAATCCATTAATATCTCCGGCGATCTCCATCAAATCAGCAACAAAATTAAATTTATTTATGGAGGGGTATCGATTTTCTTTAATCACATTTTCCATAATTAAGTTAGCGCAAGTGTTCGCTAACACGTATTGACTGTAAATGTGCAGAGTTTTAAATTTTCTGATTGTAGGAGCAAGATAACTTGCATAATTAATACGATTGCTATCATTTGAACTAGAATTTTGGCTATCGCATGTAGTTAAGTAATCAACACAACTATTGATTTCGTCCCACATTTCTGTAACCTCTTGTAGAGCTAAATTTCTGCTCTCGCCAACGCCATATAAAACTGTGAATCTCTGTCTACTCTCGTGCGAGCCTACATCGACATTTCTTAAATCAATATCAGGTAAAGGAAAATGAAGCACATAAGCGATATGTTGAAATGTTTTTCGTGTATCGGTTGTTACATTATTAAAATTTTTATCTTTATCATCATCTCGTCCTCTTTCGTCATTGTCAGATAAATTTCCTTCTGTTTTATTGGCAATATTTTCTTGTTCAGGTTTAGCAAAAGCAACATCGTCAGTTGCGTTGTCGTATTCCATTATATCCATGTTGCCATTACAGCTATTAGTTTCGTTACTCTCTAGTAACTGTTGTAGCTCTTCCTGCTGTTGCGATAGCTGTTGCTTTAGCTGATCTGAAATATCAGCTTCCGAATCACGTCTAACCGAAAATGGTGAGCCACATTCAATTACATTTTCTTCTTCATTTTCTACCATAAAAATTGAAGCGTGAGATAAAAATCAACGATACATATTGAATATAAACGAAGTAAATGCTTACTCTTCCCTAGATGGCTGCATTCATCGCTTTCTCCATCGTGATCATTTTCGCCAACAATCTGATCCGGTGAGTTCGCGTAAGATCTACTACTATTTGACGTAGTAGAAATATCTCCCCGAGATATTAAAGTCATAATGTATTTATCATGTGAAAATACTTTACGGCGAATCAATTCGGCAAATAATGCCACTAATAATTTAAACGAGGCATTCGATTGTTCTAATTCTAGTTCACTATCATCTGTTAAAGAGGAAAAGCAATGACTTCAGCTAACTGCGAAAACGAACGATAGTTATAAAATCAAAAGGTATATAATGAAGAGTAATTGCCTCCTAACCTGATGGCAATATGGCATAATAATCAAGAAATCGTAACAATAACTCCTGATAATAAAGGTGATTGCAAATTGCATCGTTTTCATTCATTCTTTCTAAATCGCCCTGTCGACGTTCAAGTAGTATCGCAACAAGAATAGGACGATGAAACCCATAACGAAAGGGAGTTACGGCCCATTCCAAAAGATGCATGATAATAGCTTCATCATTATTCAAGACATCCTGTAATCAATATTTCATAAATTTATTATAACTATACATCACTACTAAATTTCTAAGTAATAATTAACGGTAATACCTTAACTAAAGAGCCTTTAATGATAGCAGGAAAAATATTTGTATATAAATTTTCCACCGAGATTCCGTTGTTGTGACGAGCGTAAGCGCCTTTATCGTGAATTTCAAGAACAGATAACACTTGTGTTACTACTACTGAGATATCTGATTCTTTACACTTTTCAGAAGACCAACGATTTTCTACTAGTGTGCTACGAAGTTGAATTTGGCTTTGAGACGCCTTCATTGCAGCTAACATCTATAAGATTATAAAGATTTTTAATGTTACCAACCGGTAAGCTTACAAATCTATAGATAGATACATTTATATATGTACATATTATAGATCATAACCTGTTTTTGTACTCGAGCCTCCAATAACTCGATTCCAGGTAACTGACATATCGAACCGGGTAGATAATCCAACGGTGAACCATGATGCATTAAAGAATCATTACTGGATCCTTTATTCCAAGCACCGATAGAATATACTAAGGCACCGGGGCAAAAAATAGCTATGATCTGAAGTATGCAAGTTAGTAACAATAATCTTGGATAATGCCGCTGGCAATCATTGTAAATGGCTAATAAAGACCAATCCTCCGTAGTGCCATTATCCGTAGAATTAGTTGATGATGGTTTACTTTCTTTTTCGTTAGCATTATTATTGTTATGATAATAGAGATAGGATATGTACCGGGTACAAATACCAGCCAATACCCGAGCTAGAGATTGAGACGCCGTAATATCTCTGATATACTATGTAACCACAGATAAAGTAAAAAAATTAATAAAACGTTAATCTACTGATAATAATAGTACTTTTAATATCGTTCAGCTAATTCACCTTGAATGTGAGTGGTACAAGTAACGTTAAAGATACGCTATCTGCGAAGTCAACTTTGTCTAGTGTATCTATCAACCATTGCAAAAAACTATGTCTCTGTAATAATCCTTCCTAAAATGGGATATGTTGTCATAGCATTGAATTTAGTAAGAAATAATTTATAGAAAGAATACTACATTACAAGGACTCTTACTTGATAAAGCCAATCTGCTAACTGAGAGTTGTATAAGAATTGCTTATATGCTGATAGAATATCTGAAGATAACGTTACTTTTCCCTGGCCATGTGAATGATCTGATAACTTACTTAATAAATCTTTTAAATATTTCGTTAATGACTGAGTCCAGTCTAAAATATGGTTGATACAAATGTATTTGTTTTTTTAAATTAGCCACACCGGGATCATATCGGGCATTAAATCAATAACAACATCGAAGAGCTCCACTGTTCCAAGTTACTGTACAACACTTACCGTGAGATAAGTCACCTCCTGGGCGTTTCTTTTTGGAATCCGACGACGTATTATACCCGGTCGATAATAACTGAATAAAAAAATTTTTATAAAGTATTAAATTTTGCCAGACATTTTATTCACAAACGTAGTTAGATTGCATTTCTGGATGGGTAATTAATAGAATCGGAGCATTAACTATTATCATCATATCCTTTTGCTACAATGATTGTTTTGGTACTTTCTATTACAAGTGTTCTTTATTAAGATATCGTATCCGAATTACATTACAAATTGGAACTATTATCGAAAGTCAGTGTGATGAGCTCTAGGTTACTCAAGGTTAGTCAAATAGCTGTCCACTTTCATGCTCACTACAGTACCTTTTTCAAACAGCTACGACAATGCAACCATGATCTACTGTCGTAACAAAAATTCAATCCAAAATGTGTATACTATAGTACCAAAAAAATCCACTATAGTGCGCACGTATATATACGTATATATGTATAGAGAGAGTTTATAAACTCACCTTGATAAACCAAGCCGATCTAGCTAAAGGTACAGAATTGTCAGAAAGAAGTTGAAAAACTTCTTCTTTACGATTGGAATTTAACGTTGGAATCTAAAAACCATCGGAAAGAATTGATTGCAATGATGAAGATGGTAAAACATGCTAATGAAAATATCAATTTAACGAGTTATAGATAGTCTAACTTGAGTAAATTAGTATGATATCCAGTCATAGTTTATCCATAGTACAGTATCAGTTAATCTAATTCAGCGGGACAACGACTTACCTTCTTCGATAAATCTTTTAGAGATTTATTAATCGCTAGATCTTGTAACCAAGCATTCAAGTTAGTGCGATTTTTGGCAGTAACCTAAAAACACGAGAAAAAGATCAAGGTCAGTCCATTGTGAGGGTATTATCTCGAATAATTTAAAAGGACAGTATGAGAAGAGGAAAAATAGTAGAACTATACCGGCCAATAAACGTCTTTCAAATTCACTTGATTTTTCTTCTTATTGACATCATAGACATTATTAAGTCGCTGTTTCTCTTCGGTTATAGCTTTGAAGTGACTTCCAAGCTATTAGGAAAGAATTGATACGTAACGATAGTGATGAAAGTTGAAGTGTAAAGATTAAATTTGTCTCAAGCAGCGATTACATGTAGGTAATCCACATGACGATTGCCTTATTCGATAATCATTGCATCTATTTACTGATATAGTTCAATAGCAGCAAGTTGTAATGTTAAACGACTCTTACCCTGGAGAAATTGCATACAGTAACAAAAGGCTTAGCCGAGCCAATCTACAATATATCAAGTTTAAGTAGAAATATTTTTTTAAAAAATCTATAGCAATAAAAACATTCATAAAAAATAGCGAGATATCATCTACAAGTCTGCATATAACGAGGAAAGGTTTTTCAAATGATCTATAAAGATGTTTTTATCCTTGATAATCATGCACTAGTCTAGCGTGTATTGCGTATTTTTCTTCTCCGTCTCTTACCTCGTCTTCAACTAATTCGACATTTTTAAATCCGTTCTTCAGTGTATCACTACTTAAATCGTCCTGTTGACAAGTTAAAAATAATTCCATTTCATGTGTATTGCATGGTAATAGTAAAAAATGAAGAAATGAATATCTAATAATGGTAAAATATCAAATAGAACTGTAGGGAATCAATTTGGATAATAATTGTAAATACGCTTTCTTGCCATGGACGGCTATGCGTGGCGGTCTAGTTCAATCATTCGCTAGTGGTACAGTACTGTCTATGCTAATTTTTTCACTGACATTTCTTTAGGTCAATTTTCATGGATAAGATTGCAATTTCAATCCTATTACTAGCTTCAATGAGCGAAATTTTTGTATTGGATTAATCTAGAGTACAAATACTAACCTCTTTTTGCTTGGTCATTTGAGGATAGCAATCTGGAGGGCCAATTCTAGGCCTTTTTAGTGGACGTTGTTCCCTGTTGAATATCGCCATCATTGTGCAGCCATTTAAAATATCTCCAATATAGTGTGTGCAAGGACGCATGCGCAGATGTATCTATACGGTAGTGATTACATAGATTTAGCTGAGGATAAATGGCCAAGTGATTTATGCGATCATGTTACACTGTGCTTTAACCGATCGAAATCTCTCTATAAAATAGTATAGCATCATTGGTATTGTTCAAAAATACCTCATAGTAACACATCGATTCAAGATACTGATCATAGTAAATGATTGAATTTTTTCTTTTTCTCTTTTATTGATGCACCTCTGTAAAAGATTACTGGGATCAGTAGGTTCAGCTCAATCAACACATACTGTTGACCAAGGTCGGGCTTGATCAATGGATTTACTACTAGCATAGAGTAGTGAATGGGGTGTTATACTGACATGACATCAGGGCCAACTCCAACGGTCGACTCATCCATACAATCTACTGTAAATAAATAAAGTCCCCCCCCCAAAAAATACAACCTGGAAAATTCAATCAGATCTTGTTGATAGCATGTATTGATAGCATGAACATGAATTTTAGCCCATTTTAATCGGTCATTAACCAATCAAAACTACCAAAGTAATTTCATTTTTATTACTTGATAACTGATCGATCCTATATTATTATTATTTTTTCTTTTTAAATATCATTAAAGAGCTGCAGTCAACATGGTATAATACCGGGACGCATTTTCAATTTTTTCAACCTTGGGGCTAAAAGCGTTATGTCATAGGCGATATAGTACTGTACTGTACTGAGGTAGCATAATGTTTGTACCAACTTGTTCGATTGTACGGGTATACTTACTGTACGGCAGTGTACGAGACTGGACCGTTTTGCGAAGGGCCAGCATGCAAGCTGGCGATCATTACCTCAAAATTGTTATTGACTTCATCAATTGATGTACCATTTACCTCGGCTGTCTCCTTTATTTATTTATACCTGATCTATTGGAAGTTGTGATTATTTATAAACGAACTTACAAGCTCCACCTGTAATGTACTACTTGTAATTCTTTACAAACAGACTTGTACACAACATTGACGGTAAATAAATATTTTGGCAGTTGCATTGCTTGCTTACACTACGTCAAATCCTTCCAGACCATCTGGACTATTTCAATCGCTGGCTGATCCATCATCATATAGTGTGTATTTGTACGCTTGACGTACGCAATTCGATTGATTATCCCCCATGGAAAGTCTAGGATTTAATCAGGAAAAATGAACTCTGGTATAACAGTGTACACGACACAACATCTTTGACCGTTGCTGACATATTGGTGGATAATCGCTCCTTCTAGCCTGCTTATTAGTGCAGTAGAGGGCCTTCATCAATCATGGTGTTATTACTACATTCTGGCACAATAATGAAATGCAATTTAATAGCTACATCATTTACTTTTAGGAGCTGTAGCAGTGCAGCTCATCGTGGACGTAATTACGAATTGCACACTATTAATGTATTAAGACAACTTGGTTTCCACTTAAACCACTGTGGTGGAGCTCATGACAAAGGTGTCGACTTTCGAGGCTACTGGCATATGAGTATAAACAAGGAGAAAACTAGATTGAACGTGGTCGGTGATTGTAAAAATTTAAAAGTTTCATGTGGACCACTGCACATCCGGTCATTAATTGGAACGCTTGATCGAGAACCTCGTAATACCATTGGCATTCTGGTCTCGCGTAAAGGGTAATGTACCCCTATTAGACTCACTGATTAAGTTAAAATTAATTGAATAATTAGTGCCATAAAATAACTGCCAGTATTCCTCAATACTATAGCTACTGATAAATGACTCTGTAACGTAATCTCGCTGCATACTGTAGTAAATATTGAACCTATCAGCTCCGACAATCTTGATCAGTACAATACAGTACTAGCTTTATCTGTTGTTCTATCTTATTTATGAAACTGATAAGCTAAAGATTGATATTCCACACACAATAAGTAATGATAACTCATCGATAATATTTGTGATAGCAATCTTAACATGATCTATTTTTGTAACTTTGTAGATTTACTAAAGACGCCCACAAAACTTTTAAAAGTAGCCACTTACCCATGGCATTGATAAGCATTAATGATGCGGATAGTAGCGATGGTGGAAGACTGTTGAGATATTTCGATCGAAATCCTAAATGTCATCAACTGACGCCTAATATTACTGTAGCTTCCAAATTCTATGAAGGATTAAGATTCTTTGAAATATTACTACACGATCAACATGGAAATGTTGCTTTATTGGATAGTTTATAAATACTAATCTGAATTTTTAATCTTTAATGCATTTTGTAACATTGTATACAGTATTGTAATGTGCACTACTTTAGAGTCTAACGCTGAATCATGTGCGTTGATGGGAAAAAATCATCTTTTCTAGTAGCCCATACTGTAATCTTGTATACCAGTAACGGACACTTATAGACTAATACAATCTTTTCCGATATATTGTAATATCTGATCGTTTAATTCACTGACTACGTCAAGTATCACGAGCGAGATCTTCTACTAGTTATGACGCATAATTGCGTGCAAAGACTATTGGGATAGATAATTCAAATAAATATTTTCGACATACAGTAATATAAAAATCTTTACTGAACAAAAAATCATAAATAATGTTACATGCAAGCCGTCTGCAACTGTGATTGTCTTTTAAAACTTACACTAAAATATCAAGTATATCAACATGCTATACATGAACAAGAAAGGGACGCATTACACTACAATGTTGCCTATTAGCAACGAAAATATACAATAAGAATATCAAGCGAGGCATAGGAATATCTACTTACGGACACAAGATACTGTAGAATACACGTATTGATAATGGCATCTTATAGTAACTTCCGCAAGGAATTGACAAATTACAAAGAGTTAAAAATATCAAACTGTAATTGCGACACAGATTCAACAGCAACAAAAAATTTCTCAAATTAATAATTATACAATAAAAGTTATACGAGTGCGAGATTGATTGATCTGCCAAACATTTAATTCTTCGTAGGTTTGTAAGCACTGGTTAAATTGATCGGAAGTAAAACCCTTCGCTAATGTTCTTTGCTTTGCATCTGAGACTCTAAATTTGGTTTTACGAAGCAATTAGGAGCGTACACAATGAGATATAGCAATTCATACAACATGCAATATATATAATATGCAGACCAATAGTATCAAGTATAGATAACTTGATATAATGTATACAGAGATCGTACAATAAATATACTTTACCTAACACTGCTGCTACCATCTTCATCAACAATCTCTTTTATTAGCTCGTATATAGCATCAATTGGTAGCATGTGCCTAAAAATATTTTAAAATATAACTGTTAACACTCTTTTGTTCGTACGCTAAAATAAACTGTAAGAATGTATGACTTACTCAGGTTTTTTTATGTCATCACTGAGCGAGGCTCTCGACATTTCCGTCAGCCTAATTGCTTCCTCTATATCATCCTTGTCAACATCATCGGCTAATCGGAGGCGAGCCTTTAAAAAATTTCCATCGGATTAGAATCATATATCAGTCTTAAACACTTAGTAAAATCAACTATGCAATACAATCTATACAACTACTAACTAATGCAGTAGCCAATCGTAGAATTGACAGCAGTGTTCTAGCTGATGTATACGTTGAGTCGATGTTATTACGAGCTTCTTTGCGAATTTCAATGTATGCGCTAGTGATATAATCAGTCAAATTTTCTGGAACAGTGGGATTCTTTGCCTTGCAAGTTGCGATATAACGACTACAAGGTAGAACAGTCGATTAATTATTTCTCTAACAGTTTAAAAAAAGTTCAAAGATTTTGAAGTACTCTTTACAATTGAATACAATATTGCGAACCTGACGAATTTCATATCTAGCGGTTTTATATGACTAGGAGGCTGAACTGAATTTTGATGAACATAAGTAATATGTTGTGCAAGTCTGGGAGTGTAATAAATAAAAGTTAAATTTACAATGTTGCCTATAAAATCACATTTAGCCTCTTGAGAATTCAAATTTTTAAATCCAACCTTAGATCATTGTCTCGATTGGGTTTATCTCTGATGACCCAGAGTAAGTCAAATCTTGATAACAAAGCTGCAGGCAACTGGATATTTTGTTCGGCAGTCTTTCTAGGATTGTAGCGTCCACATACAGGGTTAGCGGCAGCAAGAACAGACACACGCGCATGCAAATTTGATATAATACCAGCCTTGATGAAATTATAATAGTTAGCTATCATTAAAATACGAGTACTTGATATACCCAGCATTTAATAAAAACCAAAGTGCTACCTTTGCAATAGAGACGGTTTGTTGTTCCATTACTTCATGTATTGCGGTTCTATCGTGATCTAACATCTTGTCGAATTCATCAATGCAACATATACCTTGATCTGCCAATACTAGAGCACCACCCTCTATTGACGAAATCGTTGACACAAGGTTATTAAAATTGCTATCGTAATAGCATTGCAAAAAAGAAAATTTTTACCTAACACCATTTCGTTCGTAATTGGATCTCGCATGACAGCAGCGGTTAGACCAACACCAGAGCTACCACGGCCAGTTGTATATTGACCTATAGAAGCGAAAAATGATAAGTGATATCAATTTCAGACTACAAGTTTATAGTATTAAATTCACAGAACAGCCTTCATTTGTACTAACTGCGAGGAGCAACACGGTCAACGTATGACAGCAGTTGACTCTTTGCAACACCAGGGTCGCCCATTAAGCAAATATTAATGTTACCTAAATTATTCAATTAGTACGCGAGATGGTTAGATTAAAATTATACATTGAATAAAAATCTGTTAGGATAATTACAGTACTTAATAACATCATTTATATTATACTTGAAATAATATATATCATAAAAGTTAATGGCCATTCTTAGTACCTCTAATTTTCATGCCATGAGGTGATCTATCAACACCACCAACAAGAAGTAATAATAGAGCCTTCTTGATATCTTCATGGCCATAAATTTCTGGAGCTAGGGACCAAGCTAGCCGTTCGTACATGTTCTTAGCTGTATGGAATTTATTGAAAATTTTTTGGCTATCTTACGTTAAATTCATATTTAAAAGAAAGATAAAATCTTACTAACCATCTTCTAATGCGCTCAGTTCTTCCTCGGTTAAAGTATCGGCTCTAAGTTCATCATCTTCAGATTTATTCATCTTTATAATATTCTGGTGGGTAAAAACGGTTACGTTAACACATATTGCATAGTAAATATAGCATAAGGTTAGTAGCAAACTCTTAAACCTACATGGGCTTCTAAAAAGGTATCCGACAGCAATCCTTGTGTTACTTGTCGGAATCCAGACTTGAGGGCAGGTAAGAAGATCTATGATGTTAGCAATTAAGGTCTCATATACGATTATGAAAACTATTGTCAGAATTATACAATTCATCTAATAGATAGTATTATTCATGCAATATCATAGTGACTGTATAAAAAAAGGATACTCCTGTTACGCAAATGTGATCCCCGGGCGTAGCTAATCGAGCCAGCTCACCCTTGGCAATGATATTCATCGAGCGAGGAATATGACCAACAGGTACTTGATCGCTCTAATGTGAGTAGTATTGGATGATATAGAACTTATCAAGTCAACATGCTTATAGTTTAATGGCAACTCTGAATAAATTTCGTACATGTTCTTGTATCTTCAGTTCCTGGTATTTAGTAAATTTGGAACCTCTGGTTTGCAGATACAGTCGTCCGCCGGAACTATAAACAAGAATTGATAACCATCATTTATATCAAATGGATATGTCATCATAACAATATGCAGTATATTTGGAAATTGTCATCATTATTTGAAAGAAAGTTTTTATACTTGTTGGAACGGCACTCTTGACTTGGACAAGTCGAAAGAGGGATAAAATTAGGGCTAGCGATCTTGTGAATAAAGTTTAATAAAAGGAATACGTGAAGTGATATTTAATCTTAACAGGTCTCATTGCAAGTCATTGACCTACCGGTTGATAAGATTCTGCACCACACTGGTCACAAGTGTATGTAGCAACAGACATCATTGGTTTAACTTCGGTTACACGAGTAACAATACCGCGAACAACGACTAATTTTCCGATACTTTCAGCTTTGATCTTTCTTAATGGCAAAGGTTTGACACGAGACATATGCTTGAAATGGACTTCACTATATTTTGACGAGAATGAAAGCGATTTTTTATAATTAGTACATCTAAAATATTGTTTTTGCTATCTGATTAGTACTTAGCAGGAATAAAACTATCACCTCTATCCTAAAACTCGAACAATGTTGCTGTTGTAGCCCTTACGAATAATGGATATTTATGCTAATAAGATAATAGCTATCAATGTGCGGGTAACTTACAATCTTCGAAGTAATTCGGGTGGATACTTATTGCGAGCTTCTCTAAAAGCATCTGCGGCATTGTCAGGATGATTTCGTTGCTCCATTAACAGTCGATGCTCAATGAAGATGTCTAATGCATCCTTATTTGTTGGCTGATTATGGAGATACGAGTAAATTCAATTCAACTTCATCATGACGACAGTCTAACAATATTTCTTTTAAAATGCGTACTAGTCTAGCTACTAGCTAAGTAATAATAAATTCAATTTGATAAAAGGGATCTGTTGTAAGTATCACTATCAATTGAACAAACCTCTTTTAGTTTGTAATCTGGTATAAGGTCAAAAATGACGTCGGAAAATATCTGAATATAACGTCTGGTATTGCCAGTAATGGATTCTGCTAGCTCAGCATCAATCTTTAGAAGTTTTTATAGAAGATATGATATATGTCAATCAAGGTTTGTACAATGTTTATGAGTGTATACTGTATAGTTCGATCTAGGATTTTAAAAGGATAGTAAAATTACTCTTTTGCTATTAATTAAACAGATATTGACATTTGATGATCAATTGCTCAAGCAGAAATTGTGCTTGTTATCGAAAACCTGCAAGTGTCTACAGTACTGTACTATACTGTACTGTATTGTATGAATTTCAAGACACCCACTCGGTGCTCACTATCGTTACACCAACGCCTCTGGTGTCCATCCTAGAAATCATGTAGTTTTGCTGAGACTGTATAGTATGAATCTTACCTCCTGAACATCATCCAGATCGACGGTGATGTCTACTTGTTCACGATGAGCAATGTTTGTCTATGAAAATTTTCAAAAGGATTGAATGATAGATTAGGAAAGAAATTGCGAGGTATGCGCTCCACTGGTAATAAACCAATGTCGGTCAGTCATTGGTTAGTACTAGAGTATAACTTGTCCCGATGTCACTTTTCGTTACAAGTTTTATCACTACAATCATGTTACTTTAATTCGATTCTACTTGATCTTATCTCATTACTAATTGCTCCGCATAGACAAATTTTTTCTCGATGCCATCTTCGATGTAGAAGTCAGTCAGGAATTGTTTGCATCGATCTATATAGTGAGTGTCCAAAAAATAACATTTTACGATCAATAAAATGAATTGTACACATACCTAATTTCTAGGTATGCAAACTACTTCTCCTCAATCAAGTTGTCCTCTAACTTTTTCAACATGATTCCGTTGCATTACTGTACAGTATCAAATCATGTAATGGATCCTTTTTATACCTTTATGTTCTGTATAATCCGTGGTAGGCATTTTGAACTCTGATGATTGATCGGCTATCCAAGTACGTCTAAAGCGAGTTACAATCGTTCACAAATGATTCCTTAGCTCTCTTTACCGCTATCTACAAGATGAGTAGAATAGTTTGAATGTAAACGTGCAGACTGATCGGTTTACTAAGCGCCTTGTCAGCGTTTCGCAATGAATTTGCAAATGAAAATACTGATCAACAAGTGAACAAGACCTACAGCAACTTCAGCAAGTCAATAGTTGAATGGGATTGCAATGTTCGCGTTGCTATAGTGAGTCTGGTACAGCAGCGTTGTCTTTGGTGTTGTTCACGATCGGCCTTTAACGGTTAGCGAAGAATTTGAAACAATGTGCAGCTCGCTTGTTTGGTGATCACGTGCTCGAGTTTGGCGGGAAATTTGCTGCACTAGCCAATCGCTCAGCGACGTAACGATAATGGCTCGGTACGGTACGTATTGGGTACAGTACAATGCGGTCTTGTTGCTCTGTTAATTAATGAAGAATTTTAATTAACAAGAGAAGAACGATCAAGTCTTGTCTGTTAAGCGATCAAATTAACCGAATCAACGCAGCGTTATACTATGATCATAGAATTTTAGAGAAACTAGAGATGTAAACTGATAGACAGTAAAATACGCTTTCTATTAACAGCGAGTTTGAGTAGTCTCCGTCAACTGGCGATGCAGTATTTCTGAAGCACTGTTCGAGGGTAAGCTTGCAACTTGACAACAGATGCACCACCTACAAGCGTACCGTAGTATTTCAGTGAACTACTACGGTACCGTACTGTATGCTATACAGTACTATGATCATTTCAGTTTGGAGAAACTAGACATGCAAGCTGACAGAGCTAATAACACCAGCAGCGGCTTGTGTAGTCTCCGTCAACAAGAAGTGCGGCATTTCTGAGGTATCATTTTCACCGTACTGTACTGTGCATATTGTACGAAACTCAGGTAAATGTACTGTACTGTACATTGCGCACGCGCAAGCTTGCAAGCGCTACTGTACGGTACAGTACACACTCGCACACTGTACTGTACAATGTACTGTACGGTACAGTAAAGTACTGTGGCAAGAATTTCCTCGTACAGTACTGCACTGTACTAGTACTGCACTGTACTAGTACCGTACTAGTACCGTACCGTTCTTGGCCTAGCCTAAAGCTACCTCAAAATTAGCCCGCGAAATCACCGTGTGTAACATTGTATACAAAGGTCAGGGACCACTCTGATACAGTACTACACGGCCATAAAAATTCTTCACCAGCTATTCTACTGCTCCAGTACAGTATGAAGATATAGTACGTCGAAAAGTTGATCACTTCCAATCAATCTGCAGCAATTGCAGCTCATTTTCTCCAAGTTTAATCTGGTCATTTTGCCCTTTCTATCATCGAAATCACTACAGATATCAAGTAGAGAGATCAACAGCTTGAGGGAGAAATTCTTAATTCATAAGACAGTTGAATACCATGGGTGTTGATCCAGCTTTACTCGATAACATCGATCAATTTGTTAAAGATGAAGGACGAATTGTAATTCCAGCTAGAATTGACTTTCCTTCTTGTTCATTATTGTTTGTCGTTGATTTTATTCCATTGCATAGCTACAATGACATACATGTCCATAATATTGCTAAAATATTCCATATTCCATTCCATTTATTCATGAATTGCTTTAATTTGTTCAATATTAGGTGACGTATAAATGGTTAAGTCAGCAATTGTCGCTAGATTGTCGTAAAGCCAAAGAGTAAGTTGAGATGACAGTTGGCATGGACACGACTGTATCTTCTTACCAATAATGAATAACAATCTATACTATGTATCTTTTTCTGTCCAGTTATTGGAATATTCAATCAATGTCTTGGTACATTTTCTACAACCAGATTGAATATTCTGTATCTCTAATACTCTATAGTATATCGTATCATACTTACGATGGCTTAGAGAACTAATCTACACAATTTCTAACGTCATTTTCTACAGCCACATTGATTACTTTATGACCTTCATCATGAATAGCATATCGTGTTGTAACTTAGATTAGCATCGAAAATACTTGGCATGAAACTTTAGGCAACAAGCAATCTGTTACTACTTACAGTTACATACACAATTTTCCACATCTTCTCTTATCCCTGAGAATCTATTGGATAGTAAATCATAATTTACAATAATTTAAAACACGTAGTGTCGAATTCCTTAAGCGGTAAATAATCAGTTACTATCAAATCTGCCCGATTTTCAACATATTCACCTTTTAATACTCATACTGTGAAGAGCTCATAAATGTGATATCAACATTATTTCCTCTATTATATGCCATTCTAATAAACTTTATGAACCAGGAAATGACATAAAAATACCTCGTGTTTATAAAATTTTAAGCTATACCTTAAAATATAACGTATAAACTAAAAGGATGACGTTCAATATACAATTAATATTTACTTGTAGGATTTTACGTCAATATGTTGAAAAGGAAAGATCATCCCAAGATAATCATATCCATGTCATTTATTTTATTACTGGAGAATTAAAAGATAATAAAGTTAGTATTAGCCTTCTCATACAATCAATCATTTATTAATTATAATTGATTAAACGTAAGAACCTCTATTGATAAAAAGGATGAAAAGATAAACCGAAATAATCCATTTCCATTAGTGTTTACTGTGTAAAGATTTACTTCCATGTTTCCATTACAACTATGACACTGTTCGTTAGCATTGCTAATGTAGTTCGTAATAAGTTATTAAGCAAGAAAATTCAATATCATACTTACTGCACTCCGCACCATGACCTAAAAGTTATTTATCATTTTAATCTTAGGGCTATAAAGTTATTTTAGTAACTGAAAATAAATTAGAAGGTAAGTTAAAATGCCATCATTGTACAGTACTATTACCCTATATTATTATAGCTAATACACAGTACTAGCTGTCACACGGTATATCACTGGTAGTGCTAGCCATAGAACGTCTATTTGATCAGTTTTCTCGGTTAATCTTGATATTCTAAGTTGGCTATAAACGGGATATTTAATATTGCATTTATTTTGATTCTAATTTATAGAGTGTAAAGGTTCTTTCGCTTCCATAAATTCAACTGAGATTTACAGTGTTCAAAATTCCGTTTTAAAAGTAATCATCAACTTAAAATTTCTTATTAAAATAAACATTGTAACTTTAATACTGTAATGTAAAAATTGGATATATATTTCTGTTAAAGAATCTCTCATATTCCAATTTTACAATTTCAGGATATTGAAACTTTATACCTAGCTGACTATGAAGCATTTAAAGACAGTAGCAACGATATTTTAATGTGGTCTGTAATATTGACTATATGACTATACCTCATCATTGAAATACTGTATATAAATCATAGATTCACCTTATAATTACAGTATTGTGGTTTATTGAATTAAAGGATTTATACTCTAAAACGATACATATTCTCTCTATCTTATAGCAATTCCAATATTATATGTGAACAAGTAAAATTTCGTAAAATTGACAAGAAACCATCTGTCGTCTCCACTGATAGAACAACAACTGGTATGCGTTCTGATACTGTATTTTCTCCCCTTGACGTATTAATTCAAGTATTGCTCCTTTAAGCACGTATTATTAGCGCTTATAAAGGAACGTAAAATAATATAACAAAACGTTTCTTAGCACTTGTTAATTGACCAAGGTATACAAATTTTTCTTAATTTTAATCAGTTTCTCCTAAAAAGCCTAGTCAAACCTCTTTGAGCAACAATGTAAGCAAATTTTTTCTAAACATATATAACTACTACATACCCTGTGTGAAAATTTAACTATTCAGAATAAACGTATTTTTAAATGGTGGTAATGTGGCACTACCTTCTGAAAATGTAGGTAAAAAGTATTGATCATATTTCTTAAAATTTAGAAGTCAAGTCATAAAACTGGTAGCGATAAGAAAACTTTAGCGGGCTTTTGGTCTGATGCAGCTAAAGCTAACACAGAAAATGTAGGTCACTGATTGTAAGAAATTATTCCATTTTATGTTTATTACGCTATTGTTTGGTATTCACGCATCACTTATGTTTTTCTATCTGTATCCCAGAAAAGCGTCAAGAAAGAAATTAATGATGATAATAAGCCGAATGTAGATAGTCTTCCAGGTAAAAGGATGCTAATATGAAAATATAATTTAAAAATATTTTTGCTACGGTAATCAACAAATTATTCTTAATTGAAAGGAGTCCCCAAAGAAAAAGCTGATGAAAAAGTAGTTAAAAAGGGGAGTAAGAAACTTGATGATGTAATAACAAAAACTGAACACCCTGCAAGTAATTCAGAGATTAAATCGGAGATCAAGGAAAGAAATAAAAAGCACGAGAGTAAAAAGTCTAAAGGCCGTGACGAAAAACAGCAACTTAAGATTAAACACCCTGTAGCATCCCGTCAACGTTCACCTCAAAAGTCGCCCCAAAAGTCCCCTTTAAAGCAATCTCAAGAATCACCTCAAAAAAGGTAACTATAAATTCTTATACATTCCTGCAACATTACAATTCACTATCCAATTAACCGTACCATGAATATTTCAGAAAATTGATAGTGGAAGAGGCTGATGCACTTCAAGAGGTAAAGTTTTTAATGCGATCAAAATTCTAATTCCTGATAGCTGTTACTACTAAATTTGTGCTAAATTAAAACTGTTTTTAGGAAGAAGAAAAGAAAGTCAACTCAGATAAAGATCAGGAAGACGGTAAATCATTTTATAGATCTACATTTTTTAAGTGATCTGCAGTATATTAATAGCACGTTTATGATATTGGTATATATTGGATATAGATTCTAGTCTACGCTCATCAGAATCTACGGAAGTTGCGAAACCTAGAAGAAAGAGGAGAAAAGTGCTTACATCCAAGGTTTACATGAGTGCGGATGGATTCATGGGTAATAAGCATGCATTGTAACGATATTCGTGAGCAATAAGCTTTTAAGGATCTATACCTAATTTTTTTATCTTTTATGTACCACAATTCGATTTCAGTCACTGAAAAAGTATGGGAAAGCCAATCAGAATCAGATGATGAGCCAGAAAGTAAAACAACTGAACGAAAAGAAACAAACACTGTCAAACCACTCCCTGCTGCTCGTCAAACCACCAAGAAATCTAACAAATCAAGCAAGCAGTCATCCTTGACGAGCTTCTTTAAGAAAATGTAAAATTGATTACGAAATTGGTCATCACATATTCTAACTAATAGTTATTATACCTTTGGTGACATAAATATACTTGGTACCTGATATCGATCTCAATTCAGTCCTTATTAATTATAGCATAGCAATCATGGAAAGATTATAATTTCTCTAATGGGTATATTCTAAATATCTATTTTCACATCGCGCCGATTTTATTAGTGCAAATAGAGCTATTATCTATTTCTATAGAAAGTAGATACTGATAATAATCTGAGTTCTGATCGTTTATGCCACTTATACTTGTTAATGCATTAGCAAGAATTCTTCGTAGAGTAATATCATTAACTTAGGTACTGTCAGTTTTCGTTTTGTACTATATATATAAATACATACGTATACTTTTATTTCTGCAACAAAAATATATGTAAGTGATTTAATAATGTTTCACGCCAAGGTGCAACTGTATATATCGTTAGTCTCCTGTTTACGTATAATTCAACCGCAAAACGTAAACTTTTTGTTATTATTTTACATTACTACGCTCATAGTTTGAACAAGCTACTGTATTTCAGGCTTCAAATATGAGTTGATATCAATTATACTATACTTGTTACAGACTTTCTTGAATATTAGCGATGTATCGTTTTTCTATTACTCTTAAATTGTTTTATCCATTACAATCAAATTTACTGTCTGAACAAAGTTATACAATCTTTGATTGAAGTAAAAATCCTATTAAGCTATCTTGTTAGTGAATGACTTAATTTAAAAGATCCATGAACGGCTTTCGCCAACATTTTTGTTTGATGACTGTCACGTACACCTGACCACTATTGGTAGATCTTAAAAAATTATTGTGTATTATTATTGCACAGCAGAGATAGGAAACTTCAACGATTCTAATAACAACTGCCCGTATTTTGATGCGATGAAAGTAACAGTAAATGATCACCCAATACAGATTTAAGTGGAGAAATCAATCTACTGTATTGGTTGAGGATAGTGTGTGTAAGAGTTATTAACTATTCTATTACTAATTGCTGTAGCTCATAATCTATCGACATAAAGTATAAACGATCGCCTACTATGAGATTTAATGGAATTTATTATATTAAGTGCATACAAAAAGCGTATAATACATTAGCTTACTTCATGGAAATACTCGTGCTAGCTCGAATTGAAGTCTATCAAAATTATCCAAAAATTAGCACGCATCACAATACATAAATACAGCACAAGTACGCCCAAATTTTCATCAAATCTTAAATATATTGTTTTAATAGTCGACCCAATTTTTCAATCCCTTCAATAATTGCGCTCAGGGAAGGCCTTCTCTTTGCCGGTGTAGTCCAACAACGAAGCATGATGCTATATCTAATATAAAATGTGGATTACCCGATATTAGTAAGGAATTAACACTAATATAAATACAACGATTCCATGCTACTGTTACTTGATGGTCAGTGCCTGATATTAACAAAAGGAACGTTATAAAATGCTATATAACTCTTTCTAGGTATTTTACTTTACGCTACCATCATTCTAACCGATTAGTGACAATATAATGAACACACTTTTGTAGCTGATTTATACATGATTATATAACGGACGATTATCCCACACAGTATATCCCCTTTTATTATTCATAAATTACATCTAATTTCTATTTTATTATAGGCATCATCACGTTTAGATTTAACTATATATCTGCAACAAGTGAAATGACATCTTGCAGGAGTATTCTAGATATGAAATATTATAGCACTGCGACTCTAGCAAGATAATTTACAAATCTACAGTACTTACAGCTCTTCAGGACAATTCGGTGGCCGCTCTAGACGATATCCACTTCTTAAATGAGTGCATAAATCGTTATCTTCAACAGACTTATACGGAGTTGTTTGGCATAACGTCATCAATTCCCACATTACAACACCAAATGACCACTATAAAAAAAAAGAATTGCTTTAATCTTAAGTCTCTACTTAGCGATTGGTATTTTTACAAGATCAACACTATCTATCAAACTACCATGTCGCTATTCTTGTCAAATTTATACGATGTCAACGATTCCACAGACATCCATCTTATAGGAAGTATTCTATCTTGGCTAACACTGACATAATCATCACTAAATAAACAATCTGCTAATGCTTTGTCACCAAGTTTTACTTTGCAATTGGTTGTTGAGACCAGCCTAATAAAGTATATATGAAATAGATTTATATTGCAGTTTGTTGTAAAAGGGTCATGACATATGAATTTCCTTGTAATAAGCTCAAGAAAATATTAGTCTTAGTTACAGAAATAATCTTTTCTACCTACCAGCAATTTCGGACTGCCACGTCTTTATGAATAATGCCACGAATAGCCAAATGTCGTATACCTTGCGCGATTTGTTCTGCCATTTCCAATAATTTAAGTGTAGTTACAGCCTAGTAAACATATATAAAATTACTAAAACATTAGTAAAATTAAAATTTTCTTCTATCAAGTATGGATGTGATCATGATAAATTTAATTAATTTTACCAATTTCGCAACAGTTAGTAGTATGAGGCACTCTACTTATAGCATTTATTCAAGAGAAGATTGGTGGCATACTGATAACTACGCTCACCTTAGTCCTACCACGCAAGTAGCTTTTCAAATTACGAAGATTTTTACCATCATATAGACAATACTTATGATGTTTATCATCAACGCAAATTCCTAATATTGCCAGAATATTACTATCTTTCAGCCCGTAAGTTTTAGCTCCTTCTTCTAAAAACTTCTTTTCATGCTTTCGCTCAGGGCTGGCATTAGTATCTATATTAACATACGCATATTATAGCGAAATTTTGTTGTAAAATCATAGCTACACTCTAATTAATAATGTCGGTATAGATTTCCATATAGCTACGAAATATTAATGTTACGGCTATAGAAAGATATGGTCTAACTTTTCGTTATTTCCAAGGCTTTTATAAAAATCGGTTTTGTTTCACATGTATCCATTTTTAGAATGCCGTTATAAACTCCGCTAAATTTTCCTAGTAATTCAATGACATAATTGTAAATATTTTTTAATAACATTATTCATTTATATCACTAATATCATTAGATTAACTTAATTCAAGGATATTCGCAGTTACCAGTCATCAAGACACTTTTTATATCGAATTGTTTGCGCTTAATGAAAGCTTCTTTTGGAAGATCTACCTCACCATTTCTTTGTTCATGTCTGTGGCCAAAATATACATGCGTAAGTAGGATAATAGTAACAGGAATCATATACAATTTTTATCTAATTTATTTATTTACCACTAGCATATCACTAACCTAGAGTAATGGCTATAACTATGATCACGGATAGCACTCTGGACGTTGATCGTTATTGATATTGAGAGTAAAGCGATAAAAAAGGTAACAACCGCTGCAGTAATGATATTAAGTCCCAGATACGAGATAGTAATTGTATCTCCTAAGTTAATAAAGAAAAACAGATAGACTTGATTAATAATAGTGTTGATGTTACTGAAAAAAGACAAGTCAAAAATAGAGAAAGATTACATATTAATTTGAGTAAAATTATGCAATTTGCCAATTTTTCAAGAATACACAAAAAAATTAGCCGAATAGAAATATTTCGCTACTTATTAATTCAACATTTACATTTATAACATCAATTGCTTACCATCAGTGCTAATTGGACTCTTTTGATCTGTTTTATGTATACCATTTAATAAAGATTGCGAGTATTCCAAATATCCAGCGCGATGCGATACAGTATATATATATAAAATAGATACCCGACATCGTAAATATTTTAATATTGTTAAGAAATGATACTAATAGTTATAATACATCTTTGAGAAGATATGTAGAAAGAAAATAACGTTCATTATTTTCAAACCTTGCTCTTGACAATGTTTAAGAAAGATCAAATGGAGGTTTTGTATGGCCAAAGTAGTGTAGCTATTAAACTTAATATCAATGGAAATAACAGCTTTACCACTGATTTTTTTCGAACAGCTGATGACCACCGTTAAATCTATGATAGAGAACATGTAATATGTATAAATTGAATTAATTAATAAATAAATGCAGATAACGTTAGATGAGCTATTAATGCTTGCAGATGTCTTATTTTAGCAGTAAACGAGTTTATATATCTACGAGTATCGATCAAACATTATCTTTCTTCTATTTTAATTTATCAACACATAGAGATGTATTGAATTGTAGTATTTTCCTTCTCCTCACTAATCAATCGAATTACATGGCTTTAGCACCTAATTAAATCTTTCGCGCTACATTCGTGATATTAATTACTCAATTTATCCGAAATGATACTTCTCAAGCAGTTACTACAAAACAAAAATTGACACAACTATGGCGCATCCCAAATACAATCATGAAATAAAATAAAATCAAAATTGTTTACGACTTACCGCAAGTATTATCGAAATGGCATACTATGGAATTACTATCGCCAGCTGAAATTGTTACCAAACTACTGTCGTTACTTTGCGTTTCAATACGATTTGAGATATTCTGCAAAAAATAATAAAAGAATAGATGAGCGTAATTGAAGAGAGGCCAGAGTTACCTGTAACTGATTGAAGCGATTCTCTATTGGAAAGTAATCACGATTAGAATCGATATTTATTTTTGTTCTAATTATACAATTATTGTCTATAAAACTCTATTTTAATATACTATATATATGGTTGTGAGAGATTCAAGCACCAATTGGTGTCTCTGTAATTCGATTTTTAAACGATTGCCAAGCTTGTAAGTGATAGATCACGTAAACAACTTAAATTCTAACCTTTTCAGGATCATGATAACGAAATGATAATCGATCGATTTGATGAGGGACGGAAGAAATGAAATTGATTGCTTGCTGCTGCCGCTGGTCGTCTTTAATATAGAAAAGATAGGAAGAAACCCCTACACAGAGTTAATAAAAATAATTTTATGCAATGATAATGAAGACCGCTACAATGGCCTTAGCGTGATAAATATTTTATAACTATAATCAGCGTAAGCGTATTTAATGTATTTAAAATTGGACTAATTGATGACGCACAAGAAGAGGAATCTATCCTGACCCCGTTCCTTTACTTTACGCTACAATTACTATTCAGTTACAATATTGACACCTATGTGTAGTTATATTAAAGGATATCCTTATATCATAAGCATAAGCTACAGGAATAAATATCACCTAATAAATAGTTTATATCAACGCCTAAATAGCACTAGTATAATTCACTTAAAAATATTAAACAAATTAACTTTTTATGTTGTACACGGATCCAAATCACTGCTAGAGAATATGTCAACCTCATAAAACATCGTTCCTGAGTAATCTATTACTATTCAGATTTAACCATTACCATATAAGTGATGCGTCGTATTAGCCGATAAATAGACATCCAAGGAATGAACGCTAATAAATAGAAGCCATTGTAGGAAAATAATCTTGTAAATTGCCATAATGGAAATACACCTCTGTTATCTATAGTAGTATATAGATGTTTATCGGAGGATATCTAAAAAATTTTATATGCAATCAAGAGAGGACTGAAAATGAATTTTGTAACTGCTGAAAATTATGCTATCTCTATCGAAAACAATCTCATCCACATTATTTCAGTTAAAAGTTATATTGTAGTCTAACTTGTAAAGGTACGCAGAAAAAATATAATTTATTGTACTAACAGTTACTAAACCAGTAAGACGTAACTTACTGACTACTTTTACACTGTAGGATGATCTAATTTATATAGGCCTACGCAATCTCTATTAAGCTATACCTATAGTAACTATAGTAACAGATCACTAAAACTTGCTGACTATACTCCTCGTAATGAAGTATTACTCGACACCTTGGTTTGGTAGTAGGCATAGAATTATGTACGCCTAAAATAGCCGCTTGAGGAAATAAAAATATTATAGGCACTAGAATAAACAAAAGTTGAAAATTTTAATATCGACTAACTATTTACCTACCATATTTCAACAATATGCCAGGCAACATCATTATTGGATAGGTTAGCAATAAGTTAAAATATTACTGGTAAAATCGTCATTACTTTATCCACGCCTTTTATGAGTTGCCATGGCTACTTCTTACTAATCGTATATTAAAAATAGTTCTATATTCGAAACTTACCGGCAAATTCTTGCTCGTTTCTTGTCAATGACGTCGTATACTAAATAGGCTATATCCTCAAACCTCCAATTATTGATTCGAAGATATAGGATAATAACTAGACATAGAGGAAAAATAAAATCATTCAAGCTTTCACCCGGATTTACTGCAATTGCATGCCATCACAATGACCAAAACAATCTTTATTTCTTTGTATTTCTGATAATATAATGTATATAGACAGGGGAAAGGAGACAGAGAGATGATGCAAAATAATGCAGTAAAATTTCTATTTAAAGCAGATTTTGACTTTTAGAACTTTAGCCTGTAAAATCAACAGGTAGCCAATTTCCGATCATCATTATCGGCATCGTCTAGAAATTAATGTAAAGTCAAAAATTTTCAAACCTTATTGTAAATGTGCGATATTCTGGATGTAATAATTATGGGAATTGCAATCCAGTACATGACATTCTGAAGCTTCGGTTTTTCTAATTTAAGAAAGAATAAAGGGCTTGAAACGAACTAATTACAAATCTGCTACATTATCGCAAATATGGTACCAGCATAAGTGTAATAATCATCGGACTATTTCTATAATATTTTAAGCCTCTACCAAAATTATGCATACTCTCTGCGATATCATAGTAACTGTTAAACAGCATAAAATTTTAATTTTTTAGTTGGAGAATAATAAAGCCCTAAACAGTTGGATTGGTTTGGTACCTCAAATATAATCATCGCATTATGATCAATTTAAGACCTGCAATAATTAAGAGTTATATATGCTTGATTGCAATGGTGTTGTAATGTATCACAACATATCAAACACTAGCAGAAGGAGGTAATAGGTATACTGATAGGATACGATTGTAAATCCTATTATAGAAGTGCGTAAATATCATGCTCTTATAGATATATTACAATACACAGTCAGACGTCTTAGGACAACTATGCCAAAACAAATCTATGGATACGGTTAAGGTTTATTGAATAATTTATACCATACCGTATATAATTATAAACGAATACGACCTATATTAACGTAATTATACGTCTAATATATTTTTTATTATCAGAAATAAACATATAGAATTATTGTTTCAATTGCTTAATTTAATATTAAGAATAATTTCATATCGAATTGATATTATCCTAAATAAATGCTATTATTTCATTTAAACAAGTTATAACCTGGCTAATCATAAAATATACTTTAATGTATCATAACAGTTATTTATAATTGAAATGGTAGCAGTTAAATAGCTAGACATGTTGCTAGCTTAAAAGGGTATCCAAAACATAGTTGTGAAATAACATAAAATAAATTACACAATGAATTCATAGCAAAGCCAATATAAGATGCAAATATTCGGATGTTGTATGTACAGTTCAATATTTAAACAGTATCATTAATAACGATGGCACAAGCTATTTCTTTTTAACCCGTCTCCTTTTCTTACTTAATCGTCCTGAAAGCTTGAGAATTTTGGTTAATGTTTCGGCTTGCATTCTTACACCGATCGTTATTTTTAATTGTGGCAGACGTGCTAATTGTAAGAATAAAAGATTTCATATGAATATATATCAAGAAAAATGAACGCAATTTGACGTTAATTAGTCATTATCACTATTTTAATAAGTATATTGCGATGGTTTATTTATTTTACGTTTCACTGCGAATATAAGTTTTAGCTTAAGTACCTGTTTTCCGCATAACTAGTCCATCTCTTATTTCCAAACCGCCTAGATCACCAATCAAATTTCCATCCAAATTTAATTCGGTAAGGTAGGTTGAATTGGCGATGAAACTAGCGACCAATATCGAAAATCAAAGTTTAAATGATCAATATTTACGAAGCATGAAACTTTATTTATTAATTTTCTAAGTAAACCAAAAATATCCATTCTCAACGAAACAATTTCTAAGATATAATAGTCTAATAATAGATTCATCGTGCATGAGTTATATAATGATATAATTTTAAGCTGGGGATAGAAAATAATGTTATCTGATCATTCCTTTTTAAGAATACTGTACTGTTATTCAATTTTAGTACAAATAAATAATAGAAAAATTTACCGTAATTAAATAAGTTTGAATTATAACTATATAAATATTATTAAAAAACTGTTGACTTTTGCATGCAATGAGTATACTTTTACCACACTATGTATAACAGGTTCGGTAGCAATAAACTTCTTGAAGATAGCTAGTAAATGAATAGTAGAGTCCTAATTTACAATCATCTATCTTATATTACTCATTATAATGTGAAAAAATTGCCTTATTGTTACGATATTAAATTACTTAAATGCCGCTTCCGATTAACGTAGATTGAAGAAAAATATTATTGAATGAATTTGTAGATATACTTAAGAAGTAAACGATAACAGGATAGACTAGGGTCTGTCGATTTTGTTATATGGGGATCTACATGATACCGTAAGGACTAAATGTTATTAAAATAAAGGATAGAATTCCTGTTTAATTGATTTGATTCATAAGGTCTTCTTATACATATTTTAAGCTTTTCTCAGTCGAAAGATGATTTAACATATATTAATTAATCTATTCTATAAATTTACTTTTTAAGCATCATCATAATTCCAAGAGGGGCAGAGGTATCGTTGTATAGACTAAGATCTAATCCGTTGTCTGCAAAGTGCAATTTGCTAATCCAAGCTCCAACGCCTGGAGGTACCGGAATTACTTTTTTCTTCCTTTTCTTCTTCTTTTTTCTCGCCGCCAGCGGTAAAAGTGCACTCCTTGATGTTATGCTTTTACGAGGATTACCTATGATTAAATAAAGAAGTACTGTAATTATTTAGTCTTCGAGATACGATTCATTACTAAAATCTAAAAATAAAACTTGAAGAGTTTAATCCAACCAAAGAGCACGATATCTCATAACAGTTTATATAAAAAATTTCTGCATACAGTACTATAAAGTTGCAGATACACTATTAATTTGATACTTTTGCAGCCCAATAGTGGCGATGTTACGATTAGTATTACTTTGCTGTAAATTATTTTTTGCGCTGGATATAAAAGATTTTCACGAGATATATCAGTACAATTACTATTTACTATAGTTGCGATAAATAAAGCATATAACAAATAACTTGTACAGCATATGATCCATAAGAGTACTGATCATTCTGCAGTATATCAGCATTGATGTAAATATTTATATAAATATTTATTTAAATTGATTATCTGTATTACTTGCGTTCTTCATTTCGTTAATTAATTGTTGCTGACGCTTTGTCCCTTCTTCTGCAGCTAGTTTAGCAGCTTCTGCTTCTTTTTTTTCCTTTTCTTGCCGCCTTTCGATAACTTCGATAATCGACTGCTCAACGAATGGTTCAATTAAGCTTCGAACCCCTTCAGGTCCTAGCTTATTGCTGTCTAGATAAACCTCTCTAATATCGCAAATGAATTAAAATATTTTAGAGAATTTATTAATGATAATCTTATGGAAAATGTTATTACGAATACTAAATATACGTATTTACCTAATTGCTGTGGATGAAATTGCTTTAGATAGAATTTTCCCACTCTTATGAGTCAATCCACAGTAATTTAAGCTTAATTTAATCAAGCTCGAATTTCCCTTTAATCCATTACATAGGCCTTCAACGCCTTCATCTCCGAATCTGTTCGATAATCAAACAAACCAATAGTCATTTAGTTAATCCTCAATTACTCAATGTAAAAATATCTTATCCATATTTTTATTACACTTTACCGTAATAACTTATGAGCTAGATTGTATTAACAGTAAATTAATTATCCGATTGTTTTAAGTAATTGTAAGCAAATGCACATAGAATCATTTGAACTAATCGTTTCATTGACAGTTATAACTACTAGAATCGTTTATTAGATCTGTTACATTATTCTACAAGGTGGAGAGCATTAATCACGATGATTTAGCAGTTGTCATAATGAACTTACTCATTGAAGTCTAGTACCAGATTGACTAGAGTGTTACTCTGAAATGATCTAAACAAAGTGATCGATTAAGAGAAGTGATTTTTAGTTTTATGTTTTCTACTTATTCATATACAGGCGGTATGAGCTCCAATTAGATACCAGCTTTAGATTAAACTAAATCGTTTCATTAATCCTACTTCTAATTTACTCACTTTGATAATCGAGCTATAGAATAAGCACCAATATCGCAATCCTCTAGTTCTAGGGTTGTTATTTTATAGTCTCCTTTTTCCATCATTAATGCCTACATACAGATATCATAATATAAATATTTAAAAAGTGAATGCACAAATAATTTACAAGTCATAACTTAATATGGATGTTAAATAAAGAATTCAACATGAATTTAAAACTGTAGTCGTCCGTTTAACTACTATGATTGCAAACTTACAAAATGGCCTGTGCTACTCCTTCTATGTTCGTTAATCTGGCTTATTATTTCTAGAAATGTAGCTATTCTTACAAGCTAATATTTTTGTAATGACCGAGTAATAGTCTTTTACTATTACTATATCTATGTAATATGCAGGAGATGCAAATTAAACTTGGCTACTTGGACTTTTTAGAAGATTAAGGTTTATAGCCTTTTACAGAGAAATTTGGGAATCGATTAGAGTAAACAGAAAATAGCTAAAGCTAAATATATTTTGTAATACGTTAATAATATTAGACGACCCTTCAGTAGCAAGATGTAGGGCTACAATAAACTTAATCTAGGATGCTCTCTTTGATGAAACATTGCATATTAAGCGTAAGCAAATTTGTATTATATTCATTCTGAAAAACTACTTCTTTGAGGCAAATCTTTTATGGGCTAAGAGGTTAACTAATTAAACATCGAATCAGAAATCCTTACTTTAAATACGCTAATAGAATAGATAGTTATTGGATCAACTACATATTGGATATTTTAGTGCACTACCTTTGCATTTCACATTTATCGATTTTCTAAATAAAAATTGTTGTTAGGATATGTGTAAAGGATTATTACATGTATGATGGCACAGTAAATTGATCATGACGGAGATCAGTAATTTTGTCAAGAGACGATATGGAGCCTGTAAGATGTGGCGTTGCAAGAACATTGAAAATAATCATATGAACTGCAGCAGACTTACCAAAGTTGCGGTATGACTATGTTGAAGAGGTATTTTCCATAAATATAATTCTTTAATAAATGTGTAATGGACATTTCTAATTGATTTGATCAGTGGTTCTAGCATATAATTCTTAACATTTGCGTCAGGATATATAATAAACTGTAAAAAGAAGCATTTTATAGAAGATTAAAAGATTGATAACGAAATTGCAATTACAATAAAATTCAAAAATTATGTCGCAATACTAATTCTATTATCAGAATGATCTTGACAATTTAATATGAATAATCATGATATCTTTTATATAATATGACTGGTCTGTAAATTTTTAATCAAAATACTGCTCTTATAAAGATTTACTATAGTAATTGATTCCGTACTCGCATATAATTATGCAAACGGCTTTAATCAAATAAAATTATAAATGCTAATACAGGTTCTATGCTGTAACTGAGCTGCACTATTTAAAATAAAAAAGGATAATAAGATGTTTAATTGAGTCAATTTTAGATCTATCAATTGTTAAGTAGTACATCGGTGATACTGGAGACTAGTATTATACTGTATTATGAGGTTAGTTTTGATTAGATGATTTCTATCTTAATAATAACCATGCATATCTCTATTCGAATAAAGTTACAAAAACATATCTACAGACTCTCTTTAGATAAGTTAAAAATTTAGTATAGGTTGATTATGATA